AACATTAATCTACAAGACTTAGAAGCGGATCTTGCCAGTCGATGCACCACGTCTACATCACAGCCAGATCCAAACCAAGAACAAAAGCCATCTATCCAGAAACTTTCCCTTGATACATTATCGTTATATGTCAGTGATACTAACCCAATAACTGAGAATAACCTAGTGAAGATTCTCGAGTGGATTGCTTGTCAATTTACAGGTTTTAAATGCTTGGATTTCTACAATCTTGAGGTTTCGCAGGTTGAACAAAAGAAGACGTTAGTCCACAATTACCACGTCAATGGGTTAGATGTCTTCAGATGCAATTCCATATCATCAAAGTCCGCACAAATCAACTTACTTGCCGGCACTACCCAGAATATCAGACTAGCAGAGTTTAATATCTCTCGTCCTGATATTGTTGTCGTAGAGTATGCAATGATACCCCACATTCTTAAACTGGACCTCACTGGGATCGATCCTGAGGCACATTTGTACAAACTCGCAACGGCTATAAAGAACTCTACCTCCATTATATGTTCAAGGTGTTCTTTAAGTCTTTATCGGTCAAATGAGGAGAACAAAACAGACAATAAGATGCATGTAGAGATAGATAATGGCATGAGTGGCGAGGTGCGTGAAGAAGAAAGCAAGGAAAATGGTGTGTATCAAGCGATAACAAAGAAGGCAAACCCAGATACTGTGGAAGATTCTTCAAGCTTTAATCCAGACTTGCACTTTAAAACAATCTGCTATTTCGCTTGCGATCATCTATCCTGTCTTAAATGTGTATCGAAGATGGGGATGCCCCACAAGGATTTACTAAAGTGTCCAACTTGTAAGAAACATGCCAGCCGCCAGAAAGCTTGCCAGCTTGTATACGCGCCTCTGCCCAACCTTGTTCTTGTCAAAAGCAATATTCCAACCTCTATCCCAGAGTCCCAACAATCTAAGATTACAACATGGTGTACAACCCCTACATTCTTCTATGCCTCTTATAAATACGCATATTGGACCCATTCTGAGGTCGCCAGACAAGCAACTTATGACACATCCAACCCACTCCATGTCATGTTCGTCTAAGTTGAATAAATCAGCCAGTTAACATTTATGCTTTATTAGTGTGAAAGGCCCAGAGGCCCCAAAATGCGATTTTGAAACTTGAACCATCTAGGCCATTCTTTATAATTGATTGAAGCCATATTATCAGGTACATTATATCTTAAGACAGGATGTAATAAGAGTTTCGTAGTAAGGGAGCGGTGAACATAAAAGTTATCAGACAGATCGCACCAGACAGATATTAACCAACCAGCCTAAAAGAACGCAATACTGATTAGAAGCCGGGCCAAAGAGTCAAGTATAGCTAACTGTGGTATCTGTACCATTCCCCCACACATTTTAATGGGGCCCTCGATATATCTCTACGTTTAGACGAGTTAACTACTGGAACAAAGAACTTAGATGTTTATTCCTTACTACTTTAAACGACCCAACCCAATACTAAACCCAAACCACCCCAACACATAATACTATACCAACTTGTCTCTCGCTGAGTACATTTGAATAAGAAGCCTTTATCCTTCCCTAGACCACAACAGTTAAATATATACTAACTAAATAGAGATATAGTTTATATAAATTAAGATATAGTTAGAGATCTATCAACTACTCTCAACTAAATAACAACTAAATAGAGATAAGATAAGCTTAATTTTACTATCTTAAATTTACTATCTTAAAGTTCGCATTGAATTAGGAGGTAGATTAGCATTTTGGCTTGATTTTCTCTAGTTCAGCCAGAATTTGCTGGTGAATAAGTTCTTTCGGCCCATTACCATTAATAAGTGTGACCTTTTTAAGTTCTATACCCCGTTTAATAACTTCTCCCGTCTTCTCAATATAATCTAAAACTCGATGTCTAATTAACTCAACTCGATCATCCTCACGTCTTACCAAAGGCTCGCCCGTTATATCATCTAGACCAGGCATACGCGGCGGATTGTACCGAGTATGATAAATACGTCCCGACCCCGGATGACACAATCTCCCCTCTACCCTATCTAAAATACAATCAATTGGCGTATCAATCACTATAATCCTATCATACTCAAAATCAATCGACTCTAACTGATCTAAAGTCCGAGGATATCCATCTAAAATAAATCCACCCGAAATACCTTTAATCGCACTATTAACCAAAACCCTAATTACCTCATTAGAAACGAACTTTCCCGCCGCCAGTCTTTCTCGTACATATTGGGCCAGATCTGTTTCCTTTTGCATCTCTTGCCGCAAAATATCACCAGAAGAGATATGAGGAATTCTCAGTTTTTCAGAAAGCATCTTACACTGAGTACCTTTACCGGCCAAAGGAGGACCCAAGAATAAGAGTTTATAAACACCTACCACCATTAGGCCTATTTTTTCCAAAACTCTAAAACAGACCCCCAATCTCTCCCCTGACCCCTCGAACCCTCCTAACCCAAAGACTTATCAAGGCATCTTGGTCGAGCGGTCTAAGACGTGGCACTCAAGATGCTATCCTTCACAGGGCGTGGGTTCGAATCCCACAGATGTCATCTTTTTAGCCCCCTTGTTTTTTCTATTTATGCCCCCGCGTACACCACGTCGCACTGCTGTTCGCCGCACTCCTTACCGACCCCGTGAGTCTAAACTCCCTAAGCCTGAATCTCCGCCCGATTTACCCGAAACTAAAACGCAAATCATTGACCTAGTGAAGTACTACAAAGAGAAAGACCGAGTCCGTGATGAGTACATTAAAGCCCTTAAGGAAGAGAATGCTTATTTACGCTCTCATGCCCAGTTTAAGTCTTCTCAAGATACAACTCAGTCTAGTGATAAGAGTGGTAGTGATAGTAATGTAATTGATTGTTCTGCTTTATTAGGCCTAACCGTTACTAAGGTTGATGATGTTTTTCACTGTACTCATACGATTGAGAAGGGTGATATTGTCTCTTCAATTGGCTTTACTTTAACTTATGCTAATGGGATATATACCTATACGCATAAGGAGAGTAACATAAGAGATCTACCAGACTATCTAACACAAGAGATATACTTTGAAGAGGACCAAATTAAACTGTTCTTCTTTAACATATACGAGTGTGTAGCTAGACGAGAATAAATCAGAGCTCAAAGGATGTTGATAGTCTTCTAAATACTTCAGAAGTATACTTTGTAGTGGTGTTAGTAGTAGTGTTATTAGTATTGGTGTTAGTATTAGTAGTGGTGGTGTTAGGTGCATCTATATTGGGTACGTAGCTAGTAGTGCTTAGATTGTATACGTAGTTAGTAGTGCTTGGGGTGGGTGTGTAGTTAGAGAGGTGGTGGGTCTTTTTGAAGGCTTTGAAACACTTGGGGGTGGAAGGAGGAAGAGTCATGAAATTTGGGATGAGTAAAGTATTGGGTTAGTAATAAAGGATGAGTTTATTAGAAGTTTAGTTTAGGATTAGAGGGGGTTTAAGAGGGGGGTGGGTGGTGTTAGAATAGGAGGTAGAGTTGGGGAGGAGGAGAGAAGGACAAAAAGTGCAGCACCTTGTGTTCCCACGCGGTCACCCATCGCAGTACTATCAAGGCTGTCACGGGCTTAACTTCGGAGATCGAACGGGATCCGGTGCTTACCCGAGCATATGGCCGCACATGTGTAGATTGAGTTAAGAGGAGATGTGGTTGGGTTAAGATGAGTTAGGAGAGGATGTGGTTGGGTTAAGATTACGTAAGATAAGATTAAGTCAAATAAGATTACGTCAGATAAGATTAAGTTAAGATATAATAGAATATAAGATGTTGGTAAATGAACTAAACCTAATTTATGGCTGCGGGGCTATGATATGTAGATGGTTGTGGCGAGGGTGGGTTCTAGCTGTTTGATGAGGCACTGGAAGTCGTAGAAACCTAGTTGGTGGAGGAAGTTGAGGAGAACGTGTTGGGTGATGGTGTTGTTATTAGTGAGGTTGAAGTAGCGGGTTAGGGAGTTGGCAAATGCATTGAGGCTGGAGATGGCTATGCTTTGTATAAGGAGGTTGTTGATGTAGGAGATGATTTGGGATTGGGTTTCTGGTGTGACTTGTTGCGCTATTATATGCTTGACTGTGCTGTTGAAGCGTTTGATATCGCTGTGTAGAAGGACCTGGCTGTCATGGCATTCCAACTGAGTGGTGAAGATACAGCAGATTTTCTGGGTATTACTTGAGAGGTCTAGTTGCTGGATAGATACAGTGCTGTAGCATAGTAAGATTTGTTGCTGGGCTAGTTGAAAGATGTAGGTGAGGATGTAGGTGAGAAGGGTGCACTGAAGAGTTGTGTTGTGTTGGACTTCGTAGATAACAATGATATTGGTATGGGGGGCATATATGTAGATCTCGGGCTGGATAAAATGGGTGGTGGTGGGGGTCGTAGGAGTTAAATCTGGGTTTGATTCGGTGAGTTTAGTTAGTATTGAGTTGGTTTCTAGTTCAGTAAGTTGAGTGGATATTGAGTTGGATTTGATGAATTGGGTGTCGAGTGGAGGGTCGGGGATGGGCGAGATGTACTTACTGATGTCATTGGCAATGGTGGTGAGCTCGGCCATAGTTATGTTGTCATAGCCAAGTAGGCTTATGGCTGCTTCTTTCAGTATCTTACTATCGCGGGAATGGAAAAGGCGGGAGGTTGTAAGGTAGTTGTCAATGACTATGCTTTTGTGGGTGGTGTTGAAGAAGAAGTTGTAGTAGATATAAATATCGCGGGGGCTAGTGTTTAGTCGGTGGAACCAGGCATTGATCTGGGTGAGTTTGTGGTTGTAGATATAAATGGGCCGGGTGGTAGAAGTGTACTCCTGAAAGAATGTGTTGATAATGGTTCTAATATAATGTGGATAGCTGGTAAAAGACAACTTAAGCCGATTTCTCGACTCCAGCTCGTACTCTATGTATGAGTTGTTGCGGATTAGTTGTTCTTTGTACTTAGTGGTGAAAAGGAAGGCGAATTCCATGAGATAGCCTACTGTTCGGATGAAGGAAGTGCGGTGTTCCCAATCAACAATAGTTAGTAGGATGTGTATTGTTGTTTGTTGGTTTGTTTGACAATTGCACTTCTCGCAGTTGCACTTGTCACTATTACAGTTGGCATTGTCGCAATACATGCAATTGCGCTGGGAAATAACAAGCGGAATGTTGTTGTGGATAGTGCTGAGAGTTCGGTAGGTCCTGTTGACATTGTAAATACCGTTTGTTGGTTGGTACCTGGGTACTTTAGTAATGTAAGCATTGATATCAAGTGGGGTGTTGTGCTGGCGAGCATGATGTAGATCAACTAATTGGATGAGACTGATCGTGCGAGGGGCAGGCGAGATGAACTTAGATATGCAATCGAGCTCTTTATCGGTGGAGCTGGGCTTTGATATTTCAATAAAAGGTACGCAAAAGGTGCGTTCATACTGTAATGCTTCCTCGGCTGGTAGGTGGTGAGACATTACGAAGATAAGCCAGTGGTCAGAGTCTTGAAGGTCGGCAAAGATCTCGTTGCAGATGTATTCGTCAAATGGAACATCTTGAAAGGAAATGCAACAAAGCTCGTCTAAGGTGTATTGGTGCATGTGGGTAGCAATGTATTCGATGCTATTAAATCGGTTATCGGGTACTGTTTGCTGGCGTAGAGCTCTAGGATTGATCTTGCAGTTGTGGAGATAGCGTTTGTAATTATCTTCAGTGGCATACTCTTTAGCTAGATTGATTTGCTGTTTAAATAGATTGATTATGCTGTGGATTGATTCTAGAGTAAGATTGAAGTCTTGCTCAATTACAAAGTACAACTCCAGAATCTCCTCATGGGCGGTTTTGGTCCTACCTCTGAAAAGTGAATGAAGGATGTAGCTTTTGAGAAGATGTTTGATGGTGCTTTCATTATTCTCACCTGATAGTAGCGAAATAATGAATTCTTCCATGCATTGATAGGTAAAACTATTGGGTGTGTTCCGAGGAATGTGGATAGATATATATGGTTGTTCGGCAACTGCCTGCTCGTCTGCCTTGTACCAAATGATCTTGGATCTGGAAGGAAATGGAATGCATGTGTGTGGTATGGTTGGTGGGCGGTAGAAACCGGATGAGTTGGTGTTGTATACACCAGACTTCCATAGTATCGAGGTACTTACCATCAGTAGTTCTTCTATTTGCTTTATGGATTGCTGGCTGTAAATGACTAGGCTGATATTTTGGAAAGGAATGTATTCTTTGGCGACTTCTTGGGCAGTGAGGTATGAGATATTGGTCATGAAGAACTTGCGGGGATTGTATTTGGTTAAGGGGCTTCGGGTTATTCTGGCACCTGTGAGTTGACGGCGGATGGCTAGCATTTGCTTGATGGAATAAGGCGTGTGCTCCTTGTTTTCGTCAATAAGCCTACGCGTGGCGTAGATAAAGTCCCTTTCGCTAGTTCCATAGTCAATAAAGTATTTGGTTAGTTCGACTAGGCAGAACTCAGTATACGCTTGGGGTGCTGTGATAGTGATTAGAGTATCTTCTTTTTGAGTGAGATAAGTTATGATGATTGGGCGGTTCGTTGGCGATTGGTGGCGGTTTTGGCGGTTTTGGCGGTTTTTGGCCGCAATCTCTTTCTGTAACACGAATATGGCGGCTTGCACTGACCAGCACACATAGTGGTAGTCCGTTGTTCCTTCGTGGGCTAATGGGTAGCGGATATTGAGGGAGAAAATGACTGTGTCGTCTATGTCTGGATCGGAGATAAAGGCAAGGTTAATCCCGGCTGGTGAAGTACAAAGCTTGTAACTGACGTTATCTTCTGGGCCTTTAAGATTGGTTCTGGTTGGGGCACATGTGTATACCGGGTTAGAGTGGGTTGGTAGATGGGTGTTGTTAAGCCCGCGATGTTCTGGGATCTGGATTAGTAGAGATAATAAGAGAAGAATGAAGTGTGAGCGACTTAGTGTCATAAGGAAAAATAAATGAGCTTATCTATACCTTCTTTTTTGAATTCAAAATAGACAAAATGATCAGCATATTGTTGGTAGATAATTAGTGAAAAGTAAATATAATCCAAATCGTGCATGAAAATGAAAGGTTTGGGTTAAGTTTTAGTTTAAATTAGGCTAGTTGTAATAGATAATGTGTGATTAGTATTGGATTAGAAGGAGGACAAAACAACAGTGTGTGTTTATTGAATGCGTTGTAGCCAGTAGAGGAACTCATCGCGATGCTCTGGCGAGTCAAATCCAAGATCATCATCCTTGTCACTAACGAGGGAAATACGGTTGCGATGGGAGCCTCGGCCGGCATCATAGGGTGAAATACCGCCGAAGGCTTGGTCAACCTTGAATTCGCCACGTCTTTTGCTGTTGACGTTGCGGTAGTACTTCATGATTCCGTCGCTGGAGAGTGTAAAGTGCCGTTTAGTCCAGAGGAACTGGAGGAAGTACCTTCGTTTGTACACCGAAGTTTCATAAACTAGTTCGCCGGAGGCTCGCTCTTGGCCCAGATAGGAGTTTGGATCACACTCGGGCAACTCCATGAATTTAGTATTAGGTTGGTTAGTGTTAGTGTTAGTATTGGTGTTAGTATTGGTGTTGGCAGCTGATTGAGTAGGGTTAGGTTGAGTGGCGTTAGGTTGGGCGGGGTTGGATACACTATTGGCCTGCGTTGGGGCCGTGGCAGAAGAACCAATGGCAGCTGCGCCAAGAGCAGTAGCACCAACGGCGCCGACACCAATGGCAGCAGCAGTAGTAGCACCTGCGCTGGTTGTTGGGCCGCCACTGACAGTACCGGACTCGGCATTCCCGGGCACTGGATTCGTGATTCCTAGTGCGGTAGCCTCATCAGAGGTCAACAAAGCAGACTCTTCAGTGGTTTGCCGTTCCACCACTTCAGTCGTACGTTGGATTCCTTCGGGTACGGCTGCAGTTGACTCGGTTTGAGTATGGACGTTTTCGATTGTTCTGGTGGTGGGGGGAGGGAGTTCACTAGTAGCAGTAGGTACAGTAGCAGTAGGTGCCATGCCAGTGTGGTCGTTCGGGTTGACTGTCGAGTTAGTAGTGCTGGCCATGCTGTTAGAGTTATTTGCCTGGGCTCCACTAGCAGTAGGATGAGCTGACTGAGGGGCTGAGTTAGCTGCCGGACTCACTGCTTGAGCTGCAGTAGGTGCATATGAAGCATTGGTAGTGGCGGGTGCTGGCTCTGTGGTGGCAGATGATGTGGCTGGGTGGGTGGTGCTTGGGTTGTTGACAGTCGAATTTTCTGGGTGTGCGGCATGACTTGCTATTGCGGCCCCGGTACCGGCGATTGCAGCCCCGGCAATGGCTGCTCCGGCAACAGCCGATCCTGAAGTGGATGGGTGGGCGGTGGCAGATGACTGGTTAGTGGCGGCGGGATGGCTAGTGGCGTCAGAGTGGGTGGCAGCAGCAGTGGATTGGCCGTCAGGGTGGAGGGTTGTTTTGGGCGATTGGTTAATAGATGAATCCATTTTAACAGCTTTGGTCTGGTCCTTTTTAACGCCAATATCAACGTGTTTTTTGTGAGCTATGTCTTGATCAGCGATTTCCGATCCCATTCCACCGGCCACTCCAAAGCTTTGAGGCATCTTTTTGATTTTCCCCGCATTCATGTCCTCATCACCAGCCTTGTTCTCTAATCCACCTTTAAGTCCGGACTCTTTAACGTGTTTGATAGCTCCAGTTCCTTTACTAATTAGCGATGTAGGATCGTCTTGTTCTGGTTCTCCTTTAGTAACTTGTAGCTTAGTTTCTTTATGCAGCTTGGCATCGGAGCTCAATCCACCGACCATACCAGATCCTTCCCGATGTACCTCAACTCCGCCACTGGACTTGAGCTTTTCCTTTAAGCTCTTCTTGGGAGCGGCTGGGGCGGATGGCTGTTGTTGTGTTAGTGCTGGGTTAGGTTGAGAAGGTTGGATGGATTGAGTGGGTTGAGTGGATTGAGTGGGTTGAGAAGGTTGGATGGATTGAGTGGGTTGAGTGGATTGAGTGGGTTGAGAGGGTTGGGTTACCTGGTCAATGATGTCCATTTTGCTTGGTTTGTCTTGCGTAGCCTTATCTGCATCGGCACTTTTCTTCTTATCAGGGGTTTCTGAGTGTTTAGCAACCTCTGAAAGTCTGTCCATGATGCCCATCCTGGGCCAACTTCAGACGTATTTATACCAAAAACAACCAGAAGATTGGTTGGCCCATTGTTTGAAAGCACAACGAACCAGAATAGACCAATTGAACAGACAAGCTTTATTGACCCCGTCTAAAGTGACTAAACGGAATTTTGAAGATAATGGTGCGCGTAGAAAAAGCTTCATTATAAGTAATGTACTCGTATGAGGTAGAGTCTTTACCAGGATAGCTATCAGTTGCATACGTATCGGGTATAACATCATCACCAGTGTAAACCAGAGAACCTTGCGACCGATACTCCTGGTAGTAAACGTCTTCAAAGCCCTGTAGTTCATCTTGGGGCACAACTTCTCTTTCTGGCATATCAAACAAACCCCAGACACTCTAAATACTCCATTTAGCTACTGTATCAACCAAACAAAAACACACCCAAAAGTCAACCAATTGCGTTAGTGTTAGGTTACAGTTAGGTTAGTATTAAGTTAGGTAGAGTCTATAAGAGTTACCTTTAGAGTGATCTAAATGAGTATAGTGCCCACTAAGAAATAGCTCCTATGACTAGTACAAGTTTCATCAGTGACATGTCTTGATATGACATAATCGGCCATTTATTGAATGTAGACAATGATATGATTCGAATTCTCTACTAATCCAAGGCCAATCCGACTACAACAGAGTTAACTTGAGTTAGTTTGTTAGTATTTGATATGACGTCATACTCTACCAACCTAATACTAACCCAATCGAACAATGAATAAACAATTTGGTGTGGTGAATGTGTTGTGGTTGTGTAACGGCACTACGATGAGTTATACCCAAAACACTCAACTAAATGAGTTATGTCCAACATACTCAACTAAATAAGCTATATCTAGAATACCCAACTAAATACTTATCCAACATACTCAACTAAATAAGCTATATCTAGAATACCCAACTAAATACTTATCCAACATACTCAACTAAATGAGTTATATCTAGAATACTCAACTAAATACTTATCCAACATACTCAACCCAATACTTATCTAACCACCTAACCCAACCCAACTCAATACCAACTTAACTTAACACAACTCAACACACTCAACTCAATACTAACCTAATCTAACTCAATAAACCAAAAGACATATCTAAATCAACTTAAACTTTATCTATCTTCCCATATTGAGCTCCGAGAAAGCAACAGATCTATAACCTTCCCAGCCACTGTCCGCCTTATTGGCTTCTTAGCCCCTGGAATAGAAATTACATCATCATTAGCCGTTAGACTTAAAAAGAAGGCAAAAGGCACCGTCCAGACAATCACAAAGAAGTAAAAGAAGATTTCCAGAATACCCGTCTTATTCCTAAGCATAGCACTTAAGAAGACCATATGGTTAATAAAGGTTGCAGCTACTGCCGAAATAAACCCAGCCCCAGACGTTTCAATATTAGGATAGTCATTAAGTAGGTTAAAGAAGAGCAACTGACAAATGATACTAAACCCAATCATTAGAATCCCAAACCCTCTTAAGAACAGTAAAACATGCAGAGCACAAACGGCATAGACTAGATAACGAATTTTCTCTTTAGCCCGAGCCGGATACTCCTCTATGTAATGAATAGCCTTGTAAAGGAATGTTACAAAACCAACGGCTGAAGCAACCAATACTAAACCAATCACGAAAGTCTTTAAGACGAAGAGGAGGAACATAAACACCAAAAATAAATATTAATTTATATCAGCACGTTTAAGCACTTCTGAGGCAAAGTCCTTACTACCCCCTGGCATTTTCTTCAAGATAGTCTTTAAGGTCGATTTTGGCTCTTTAGGGAATGTTTTATGGAAGGTTTTGACCTCAGAAATGCAAAGAGAGAGATTATCAGTAGAAGCGATACGAATAACAAAATCAAAAAGTAAGAAGTTATTCTTGAGTGCATCTTTAGAGAGATAAGGAGAGAAGAAATGGTAAAGTTCTTTTTTATCAGCAGATAAGATAGCTAGGTACTCTTTGGGGAAGTAAGCGTGTTTTTTGGCGAGTCGGTCGAGATAAGTATGGGTTATGGTTGAGATAAGGGCGGATGTGAATTGGGAGAAGGCGTAGCTGATCATGGTTTCCTGGTAGTCGGCTAGGTAGTCTTTAAAGGTGGCAATGAAAGTGGCGGCTACGGGTTCGGCGGCCCAGGACTTAGTGAAGAGGTGCTGGCTGGCGGGTTTAAGGACAAAGGAGACATTCTTGATAAGAGCTTGGATGGTAAAAAGGAAGCAGTCGTAGAAGGCTTGGCCGATCTTTTGGATGGTTGGATCGGTATAGAAAGAAAGAGTATGGAGACAGTCCATGAACTTAAGCCCACTATTGCCGATGGCAATACAGTACTCTTCAAAGCCGCTTTTAGCTTTATCTTCTAGGACGAGGGCTAGTTCACTTTGGATGGTGGCGATAAGGGCGGTTTTGAAGTCTTGGATGGCCAGGAGAATGTGCTGGGCAATACTATTGAAGATTTCTGGATGGGTACTGATGGGTTCAAGTTGTCTTTTGATGATATGGTGGAGATCCATGAATCCAATACTGATGAACTTATTGGTACTATCAAGATCAGGGGCCTTTTTACGTTCGGCAAATCGAGTGCACTCCATTTGGGCTAAGTTAGCTATCCAGCTGGACAACTTTTCTTTGGCGACTTGAATGTAACGATTGATTAGGAAGGCTTCTTTTCCGGCAAAGAGGACGGGGCCGAGTGATCCTTTGCTCTTGCCTAGTTGGCGCATTTGGTCGTAGTAAGTCTGAGTCCAGAGTAGAATGGCAATGGATTCATTGGGATCGAATGAGTCTGAATGGGCGTCTAGGAATTCGTAGAGGGCGCGGTGGTAATGAATAGCGGCAAAAGAGAAGATCTTGTACCGATCGGGTAAATTGAGAGTTTCAGTTGGTTTGAGTAGAGTTACGTGCTGGGTAATAAACTCAAAGGAAGTATAGGAAAGAACGGCCGATTCAGAGGTAGGGATTTCGCGGAACTGGCGTTCGATTGATTCAAGGAAAGTTTCAAAAAGACGTTCACGATGTGTATGGGTATGACTATCTTCATAATCAATAATTTTTGTTATTTTTAGATAGGCTGTAACTGTATCTTTCTTGATAACTTCCGGAAGAGAATCAACTAGTGTAAAAAGAAGGATGTTGAAGGCTTCATTCAGAGTAGCGACCTTTTCTGAGATAGAAGGAAGGTTTTCACGAAGACCAGTGAGTTCTTTCAGGGCTGAGTGGATGGAAAGTAAGTATCTAGAGCTTTTACTATCAGTAGCTGTACGGATTTGTTTATGAAGTTTGTCGTAAACCGAATCAAAAGACTTGATTTTAGTGAGAAGATCTCTAGTGCGTTCAAGATTAGTTTGAGCTGTTGACGAAGACCGAACTAGATCGGCATGTTTAAGTGGGGGTAAAGAAGAAACTTTGAGATGCAAACCATCAAGATCTTCTTTAGCCGTGCTCAAACTGATCTTGGCATCTTTAAGAGCGGCTTGAATTGCTTCGATTTCCGTAGCTAGTGCAGTGAGGGTCTCTTTAGCCATACAAACAAACAGAAAAGGGGAATTTATAGTCGGGCAAAGAGAGTTGCTGCTGGAATGAGGGCTAGAGGGCGCCAGCGCTGGGCCCGGCGTGGTTGGTTAGGTTTTGGGGTTATAATTGGGTCAAAGGACGGACTAATACCTGGGCTGCACCAGACAAGAAGATAGTCTGTTTGCTGGTAGGAAAGATGTACAAAAGAGAGGGAGAAGAGAAAGCCAATATCATGAATATGGTTTTCTAAATCGGATTTAAGTTGGTCATTCACTTGGCAAAGTTCAGGATGGGTATTGATTACGGCTAGTAGATGGTTGAGTAGGAGAAGAATACTAAATCGTTTGATAACAAAGATAGTATCGGTTGGGCCGTTTAGTTGGGCGTAGAGGAAAGAGACAATTTCCAGAGAGGCCGGGTCCTGGAGGGCAATATTGAGTTTGGAGAGGTAGAGGTCTTTAGTGTACCGATCTAGAATAGTATAATGGGGTTTGATTTGGTTAAGAAAAGTAGTGATTAAAGTTGAATTAACATTCTGAAGAATATCATAACTAACAAAATCAGAGACTAAAGAGGTAACTCGTTTGATGTTCTTTTCGGTCAAAGTCCAGTGCTCATTGAACATAAAGCACCATCTGCTTAGAAAACAGAACTCCTTGCACATACACTCTTTACTGCTGGTGGCGGGACACATGCAGTTCTCATGCACTGATTTCAGGATTGTAAGTCTTTCGTAGTAAGCCGTAGAATCATCAGGTACGGGACTAGCTTGCATATCTAAATAACCGTCGGCACAGTGCACAAAGACTTCTTTAAGGGCTTCATAGGCCAAAGCAATGGCAGCTGGGACGGGGGCCTCTTCATTATCAAGACTAGCACTAGAGAAGCACTTTTCAGCTATGCTGGTTGTGGCCGCCGTTCGACCGGTCCATTGCAGAACTGTGTGGAAACCTTCGGCGGTTTGAAGTGTACGGGCTTCAGTGTTAGCCCAGATTTTAACTTGGCGTGCGGTTCGAGTAGTTGAGCGTTCTTTTTGGGGACAGGCTTGGGGGCACGTGAGAACATTCGTATCGCCTAGCATGGCAGTCAGGAAAGCATCAAACTCAATGGCCTCGTACTCAATTTCCTTTCGGGACTGGGCAGTTAGTGATCCGCCCCATTTAAGAATGACCTTAACGTGGTGGTTGGGTAGGGGGTAGAACTTAACACGCACATCATTATTTGTTTGAGTGATAGCACGCAGAGCTTGTAAAGGCGCGATGTTCTCTTCCAGGGAGTCTGGCTGGGAAAGAATACGTTCTACCTCCTGGATACGGGTGACATCTCGACCGGCCTGATGGGAAGTCCCCTGAATGTACTGACTAAGCGACTCCGAGACAAAGAGCAGTCGTTTCTTCATTTTAGGGGTCCGACTCCCATGCCGATAGATAGTATGAACACCTTGTATATCGATTTGTTCCGATTTGAAATTGGACAAAAAGGAAGATAAGATCTTTTGATCCGATTTGCGCGAAATATCTCCCTGTTTAGCCCGGGGCTTCAAGACTTTCTTCTTAATAAGCTTATCTAACTCTTTAAGCGTACTTTGTTTATAGTAGCGCGGGTTAGTCTTAACAAAAGACCATCCATTAACATCCACTACAAAGAACTGGCCATCTACTGTCCGCAATAAGTCCATTCCACAAATAAACTGTCCAAAAGCCTGGCTAGTCCGCTGAACCGCTCTAATCTCTTCCGGGGTCAGCTTAATAAACGTCCGCTCTTCTTTACCCAAGCGGTTACGCACTACAATTCCATCTTTAACCGGCGACTTCCTTGTCTCCGCATAAACTCGTTTACCAACCGTATAAGCCTTAATATCCAGAAAGTCTTGCATACGCAAGTACTTCTCATAGATGTAAGACTGACCATCATTTCTAAATCCAGAGACTTCACCATTAGCCGGTGGAGGTATAAATTCACTACTACGCAGACCTACCTTCCGGAACAACTGACAAACTCCATTTCGTCTCTCCCCATCATTACTCCCATAATAGATACTAATCCGATGGTTCTCACTATAAATAGGTTTCTCCACATACGGTTTCTCAATACTAACTCCATCAATAACTAAACAATCCCCAGCCATCTTTCTATCTCTATTCGCTTTAAATATATCCAAAGACACACGCAGTTTCTTCATCTCCGTCACCACCAAAGAGAACAAAAGATCATCCACCATTGGCACACCCGGCAATGCATATTCAGACTCTCTCTTAGCACCCACTACCTTATTATCACATATCTTATTACCAGTACTTATATTACTAGTACTACTTATATTACTACCACTACTTATCTTATTACCACTACTACTTATATTATCATTACCACTACTACTTATATCACCACTACTACTACTTATCTTATTACTACTACTACTTATATTATCATTACCACTACTACTTATATCACCACTACTACTACTTATCTTATTACTACTACTTATATTACCACTACCAATATCACTACTACCTATATTACCACTACTACCTATCTTATTGCCACCACCACCACTACTACCTATCTTAACACTACCACTACCACCATACATATCACCACTACTACCTATATTATTGAATAGTAAACGCTCGGCAGTGGGCACTCCAATCCTATCCAGTACACTTAGTACCACCCGACGATCCATAAGTAAAAACTGCTTATCAATTGTATTCACTTCAAACGGCCGTCTTAAATCAACATAAGCCTTAATCTGAAAGAAATCAATCCCAACGGAAAAGAAGGACAATAAAACATCAAAGATAGGCCAATCTTCTACTTTTCGGGTTTTCCGATAAGAATCTGTTAGCCAAAACAAGACATACCCCTTTCTTTGCAAGTATCGCTTCAATTCCTGCATCGGCCGAGTATTCAATTTACTATCTGTTATACAAACTCCAATCTGAATATGTTGAATGTATATGTACATGCATTTTAAATTTTCAGATGGTTAAAACCGGGATATTAGCAGGTTGTGGACAACCCGAGAAAGAAGAGGTGGTTGCTTTTAAAAGGTCAACTGCCTGTGCTAAAATCACCAAATACTTATCTATGTTAGATAAGTTAATTCAAGAAAAAGAGATTGAAGGAGATATAGACCGAATATACGATCTAGACAGTACTCCCGATCTTATGAATGCTTCTTTAGCCCACCAACTCCTAATCAAAATCAACGATCTAATCAATGACATTCCCGTTGAAGAAGATGCTAATCAGAGATACGGAAACAAAGGATTTGTGACTTTTCTTGATCGTTTACAAGAGATTAGTGTTGCGCTTATTAAAAACACCTTCTTTAGTGAGAAAGCAGCTGGTGAGGCTGAAATCTTAAGTACGTATTTAAATGCATCCTTTGGGAACCGCACTAGAATTGATTATGGGACTGGACATGAACTGAACTTCTTTTGTTTTCTTATCATTCTTCATGAATTAGATAAGATAGCAACTGAAGAGTTGTTAGTTGTTTTAGAGCATTACTTTAGTATGGTGCGGTTGTTGATTTTGAAGTACAAGTTAGAGGCGGCTGGTAGTTATGGAACGTGGGGGATTGATGACTATCAGTTGTTACCTTTTGTTTTAGGGTCTTCACAGTTCTGTCGGCATATTGATATGGCCTTTGGCAGTTTATTTAGTTTGCGCAGTCGGTGGTTGTGCTTTGCTAAGGCCTTGCGGTTTTCACAGGTGCACAAGACGTACTCTTCTTTGAAGTACAGCTTAGCCGAACGAGTAACTGCCTGTTGCACAGCTGAGATAGAAGAACAAGACTTTGCCAAGCACTCGCCTATGCTGTACGCCCTAAGAGATGTTACGTTTACAAAGATAAACAAAGGTATGTACAAAATGTACGATAATGTTGTGCTTAATCAGTACGTAGTAATCCAACACTTTATTAGTAGTGAGTACTTGCCAGTCTAAGTTTAGATGGGTTGAGTTGAGTTTGAGTTGAGTTGAGTTGGTTTGGGTTTGTGGTGTGTTGAGTTTGAGTGAAGTATTTAGGGTTGGATTCGGTATCTTTTGAGGTACTCCAGTGTGCCCAGGGAGAGGTGCTCTTGATCTGGGGCTTGGTTGAGAAGTTGTTTGGTCTTGGCCAGGAGAAGAAGGGCCTTTTTAAGCTCGTCTTCGGGAATGGAAATCCTCTGTTCCGTCATAAAGTGAAAAACAGATTGGATTAAGTTGAGTTTAAGTATTATTCAGTTGGTTTGTAGTAAGTGTGGTAATAAAGCAGTAGTTATCGTGGTATTTAGATCTTGTGTTAAGTTAGTATTTTGTTAAGTTGTGTTAGTATTGTGTTAGTATTGTGTTAGTATTGTGTTAGTAATGTGATAGTATTTAGATATCGAGTTTTAAATTAGCTGAGTTGTTGATTTATTGGGATATCAAATAGTACGGTTGGGGTTGGAGATGTTGTAAGCGGGTGCGTTGTCGGGGATTGCTCACTGTTAAATTTAGGTTTGCCACTACTTGTTGTATTGGGTTAGTATTGGGTTAGTATTATCTTCTGTCGTTGCGTTCTCGTCTTTTGGATCGTCACAAAGACTATCGAGACATACGGGACACACAATTTCATGAGGCTTTGTTTTGTTGGCATCAATATTATCTATGATCATTTTGAAAGATGATTTGGTACGTGCCTGCTCGGCAATAGGTGTAGTAGCTTGATCAAGACAAGTTAAGAGCCGGAGTACTGTTGCTGATGCTACTGCAGTGAACTCGATGGTTGAGCTGTCGACATTCATTAGTAAACTCTTATGATACTGGTTGAGTCCCAGCACAGTAGAAGTGCTGTTTGAGTTTTCGTCCTCTAATATAATCCGACAGCCCAACACGGCAACACTTTATATCATCGTGTTTTGATCAATTTGGCAGTAGTCACACTAAATTCAAGCCCAATTAGAGAAAATCAGTCTGTTCATATAAGTATAATAATCCACAAGAAACATCAACAACATTTACTTAAAAATCGACCGACTATCTAATCGCTACAGATCTAATACTAACCCAAAACTCTATTACAACAATACACAATATAGTGCCTATGAAAAGGACACCAACCCAATACTAACCCAATTTACTTCAGCCGGTACTAACTTAACAACTTCTATTCATCTAGTAAGTCTTCTTAGATTTCATCGCTACCACCTAACTAGTTCTAGTCTCGTTATTGCCTGGCCATTTCTGTAAGAAAAAGTCTGTTACTTTTTCCTCATATCTCTCTTGTTCACTCAATTTCAAATTCTTATCACTTCTGGCTGTTTTTTTTCCTTATTGGGAAATTTTGAATTTTCAATTATGTTTACTCAATGGATGGTTACTGCTCGGCCTAATCAAGCTGGGCGTTTTAAAGAAATTAAGTGCTGGATTGGTGGTTTATGTGTCTTGTTTGGGTTGTTGAACTTTGTTATTTGTGCGGCAGAAGCTGTAGATCCAATAGAAAGTTTACCGAGTTCAGATGAAATAATGGAAACTTTAAAGACACTTGGCTTTGAGTTTAGTCCATCAACAACAGCCTGCAAAGTTAGACGTCACATTCCTACGAAACAACAAAAACGCAGCTCTAACCCCAATGCGCTTCGAAATGTTCCTAAATATGTGGTTGAAGCACTTGGCTCTTCTATCGAATTCTCTTTGCCTCATTATTCAACTGAAGAAGAGGCTATGCAAGCTTTAGAATCTTTAAGAGAGATAGCCTTTATTGAAGCTGGCTCCGCCGTTGTCAACTACACATCAGATAATATAAGCTGTCCCTCGGCCAACATACAAATCCTATCTCGCGTTGTTAATATGCTTGACTGCGAAAAACCGACTAGTTATAGGATTTCTAAAGAGGCCCTTCAATTAATCGGATCAGTAGATTCAAATGCTCGTCTGACCGAAGCACAGAATACAATCCAGCATGCTAATGCCGAGTCAACATGTGAGGTAGTCTTCTCAACGAGCAATTATGGCGGGCTTATGAATGTGTTAGATAGTGGTATTATACTGCTGCGCCCAATTACAAAAGTTATCTTGAAGGTTGATAGCTACCAATACCTTTCTTATCTTATGCAACTACCTCTAACAAAGAACTATACTATTGTCTTTAGTGATCTACCGAAAGTTCTTACTCTTGATCTCACAGTGCTCCAAAACTTGCCTCCTAAATGTAGAATGATCGCATTTACAGACAACGGTCTAAAACTAACTTTGACTGGCCTTGAGAAACCCATATCTAAACATCCAAAACTAACCCTGCATATGCCATGGTATCTTCTTGATTATTTGGCTAACAACAATCCGAGTAAGGTCCGAGTTTATGCTATTTCAGGCATTGAAATCGTTTCACAAACCTATCAAAAGACTATTGAATCTCTTCAAAAGCGCGAACCTGTCGAATCTCGAATATTTGCCAAAAAGATCTATTTAAAGGCTACAGCTGATCTACCACGCCTTTCTTTGGACTTTTATAAGAGATGTTACACTCGGCAACTCTATAAAAGAGTTGGAATTTCAGTCGATAAAGTTAAAATATCTGGTTCTTTCAAACAGACGAAACGTAGATTCATCTGCATTTAATATTCTGACTAGGTCTATCCCAATACTTCGCGTATTAAGGTATTTAGTCTGGGAAATTAAGATACCACAGCAAATTTATTAAATGCTATTACGACAATGTCTTATCTATGAATATTTTTATGTTGTCGGTCTTGATGACGTCATAAAGTGTACTTGCTAAAAATATGGGCTATCTTTCTAATTTTCGGAATAGGCTTAAGCAGGTATTCCAATAGGCCATTGTGATAGCCTGTTTGTCTTTTATCAAACCAAATCGCATGGTTGTCCCTTTAAACAGTAGTGGATAAGAGATATTTAAGTTTGGAGAGAAAATACTATCACTAAACAGGTAATCAAAAGATTGTCTGTATAGTACTGAGTTAGTGCTGGGGATTGGAATGACTGTGTAACTTATAGTAGTTAGTGCTGGTATTGAGTTGATCAGTGGGTGATCGGGAGAATGATGGGGTGGTGGAAGAAACTAAGTGATTCAAGGCGGAGAAGTAGGGGGCGGGTAGCGGGAATAGTCAGAGTAAAAACTGAGTGAGAGGTAATGGTAGCAGATATAAGGGATGGAGAGGTCGGTGTAGATATGGCAATTAGAGTAGAGGTTGATGGCTGGGGCAGTTGGATAGTAATGCTGGTAGGTGAGTTGTGGGTATAGGTAGGACTAGAACCAGTTAAAGAGGATTTGGCGAGGTAGGAGTACTTCCATTGCTGGTGGGTGAGAGTTTTAGCCAAATCTAGAATGGGGAAGAGGGCTTGATGATGCTGGGCTAGAGCAAGAGCTTGAAGAGCATGGACTAAACGCGGGAGGGCAAAGGAAAGGAAAGATAGTGATGAGAAGATACTTGCTGGGAGAACTGGAGGAGATGAAGAGAATGAAGATACCCAGAGCTGGAAAATATAAGATACTTTAGGCCGAGGTGACGCAATTGTTCTAATCAAAGCCATGGTTGGATGGTCGGCAGTTTTAATAGGATAGGGTAAATGGGCAGTTAAAGTTTGCCAGACTGGTTGATCTTTAGGTAAAATACTAAGGTGTTGAAACTCTTCAGCCGTTGAAAGAATCAAAAGAATGTCGCCTAAATCGGTTATTAAGCCCGATTGTTGAAAAGCATTCAGAAGCTGAGCATATTTAACGAGAGTTTCAGGATCAACATAAAAGACAAAAGCCGTTTGACCCAATTGGGTTAACCGATAAGAATTGTTCATAGAATGAGAGCCACTTTCGGCGAGACAAATAACTCTTAAGTCAACCAAGTAGTCAATAAGGCTTTGAATTAGCCGGTTTTGCTTATCAGTCCAAGCACTAAAAACAGGATCATTTCGAGCGCGAATAAAGAAGAAGCTCTTTTGCAGCCAAGCACTAAGTTGTTCAAGTGTATTACGACCCGTAGCTACTTCATAAAGAAGTCTTGTTGGTAAAGTCGCCGGCAAACAACTTTCAATTGGAAACTGAAATAGCACAGCTTTAGCATACAAGATAAGATTCTTCTCATCCGTAATAACTACAGCCGTGCCTTTAGGCGTAATACCTTTCCGGCCCGCCCGACCGCACATCTGAGCTATCTCACCAAAAGTATACTCTGTCCAGCCAACTTCTTCTTTATACAAAGCCGTACCATAAACTATCACTGTATCTGCCGGCAAGTTAACACCAGTCGCTAGAGTACCAGTAGCACAAATAATATCAATCACACCCGCACTAAACAGCTTCTCTATAGCCGTACGAACTAGTTTAGGAATACCACTATTATGAACGCCTACTCCTTTAAAAACACTCGTATACTCCGCCCGAAGCAGCAAACTCTTAACTTGGTTTAGTTCCGGCGTATCTAACCCAAACTCCAGTCCTAAACATTCCCAGACCTTTTCCTGAACTACTTCTACTCTATCTCGAGCCAATAAACTAGCCAAACCAAAGGTATCTTCTTTAGCCGAAACAAAAACCAAACTACGTCCTTGAAGATTAGATAGCAGCACTTTCTCAGCAGTCTTTCCCGATCGCATACCCACCACCCGATAAACCATCTTTACTTCACGATAAGCAGCCCCAAAACAAAAAGCATCCTTTAAATCAGCCCCAATAAACTCAGCTATCTCACGATAATTGGGCACAGCCGCCCCCAATCCAATAATCCGACTATTCTTTTCTCTAGCCCTAATAATTCCACTTTCCAGAATACCTCCTCTCTTCTCACCCAATAAATGAATCTCATCAACCACCAACACATCATAACTAATTCTATCTTTCCCAGTCAGCAGATCAAACTTCTCAGGCGTGGTAAACAGTACATTGAAATCCTGATAATCTCTAACCTTTTGATCGGAAGTATCTAACAAACAAACCAATCCAGGCAATCTTTCCTGCACTTTCCCAGCTACTTCTTGCAACAGTGCTTTAGTTGGTCCTAAATAAACCAAACGCATTCCTGTTCCTTTCTCTCTATACTCTCTTACTATCGCTAAAATCCCAATTTCAGTCTTACCTGTACCCGTTGGGGCACACACCAGCAAGTTCTTGTTTGTCTGAAATACCACCCCCACTACTTCTGATTGAACGCGATTAAACCGTTTAAATCCAAAGTATGCACTTACTTCCGCACCCAAATCACTCACTAATACACCCACTCCTTCTTTTATGCCAACTTCTGCCTCAACCATTATCCAGTCTTCTCCTTCCGTCTGCACACATCCTCTAGGAACTTGCATCTCTCCCCTTTCCCGCCACTGTTCTCGCACTTCTTCTTCTCGGCCCCGTCGCCACTTCGCCAAAATATCCAGCATAGCTTTTCAAACTCCAATTGTCATGAGTTTAAGATAAGATTTAGTTGTGTTAAGATAAGATTGGATTGAGTTGAGTTTGGGTTATGTTTGGGTTAAGTTAAGTTTGAGTTGGTATTGGGTTGTGTTGAGTTAAGATTGAGTTAAGTTGGTGTACTATATTGTAAGTTGAGCTAAGATCTAGTGATTCACTAATACTTTACTAATACTTTACGAACACCTCACCGACTCAAACTCAACATAACTTAACTTAACACCACATCAACTTAACTCAACTCAACCAAGTACTTACTCTTCACCCGATCCAATACGAATGCTTATATCAAGTAAAACCAGAAAAACCAGCACAGCCACCACCACTCGCATTCCAATAGCCAACAAGCGCACCACCCAACCCGTAAACTGCATAGCCACCACCACTCCAACATATCCCAAGATAACAAGAATCAAATAAGGCCTAATCTTCCATAAAAGACCACCATTCCGCCATGTGGCTACCTCCAACATGTAAATTTTAAAGATAAACAACGTCATAGTATTACAACGTCATATTATTACACCATCCAAACCATTACGCCATTTATTACCAACTTAACCCCTACATATACCAATCCATCCACTACTCAGCTAACTCAATCCAATCTTATCTTAACACAACTCAACTAAAGAGATAACTTAACTTCACTACATATTGAGTTAGGCAAAGTACTAATACTATCTTATCTTAACTTATCTTATCTAAATACCACCCCACCTAATACAATATTAACTTAACCTGTTTATTTAACCGCCGTTCTTCTCCTGTCGTTTGGTGGCCTTCTTGAGGTAGGCCTGCATAGTTCCTCTGATCTTCTTCTTCTTATTCTTCTCCTCCTTCCTGATCTTACGTGGTGTCTTCACTACCTCCTTACCTTCAGTCTCCTTAAGAATCCTATCTAAAACGAACTTGTGCTCAATTCTCTCTAAACTAGCCTTCTTAGTATAGACTTTAGCCGTTGCACTAGTGATATGAGTTCCAAAACGAGTGGAACAATCACGGACAATAATGTTATCTACGGCCACATTTAATTGTTCACTAATTTGCTTAGCAACTGCCTTCTTAGTAGGAGTTGAGCCTTGTGGGTGATAAACTGATAAGACTAATTCAGTTCTATCTAAGAGTAGATTTTGTCTTTTCTCTAGTATCTTTACACTAGTAGCCATTTACTGGGGTTAAATATTAAAAAAAGTATAAGCAGTTTAGTCCTATTGTGAAATTAGTTGATAAGAAGAGAGTAATTGAGAGATTGGATGACGTGTAATAAATATTCGGGTGAGATAGGATCGTTTTGGTTTGATTTGATGTAATTTGTTATTTCCTTTTTTGTCCTATCAAGTAAGAGATTGAGTCGGTTGAGGTCTTTGTGGAGTTGGAGAGGTGGGGGTTGGAGGGAGAGTTGGGCTTTGACTTGGGCGAGAGTGTAATGGATATGTAGTTTAGCTAGGGAGTCTTCAATTAGTTGGAGTAAAATAAGGTGTGAGGGTTGTTTTTGGATTTTGGAGTGATTGAGTTGGTCGGTGCGTTGGGAGGAAGATTGGAGGAGGTGGAGGAGTTCGCGTTGGAGGTGGTCCATAAAAATTTGCTGATTGGGCCGGTCTAACATGCCATCGCATGGTTTTAGATTGTCTAAAAGTAATGATATTAGTGTAAGTAATAGTAATAGTAGTGGTGATGGTATTGGTATTGGTATTGGTGTGAGTAGTGGTGGTGTAATTAGTAATGGTATTAATGTGAGTAGTAGTAATAGTATGAGTAATAGTGTGAGTAGTAATGTAAGTAGTAATAGTAGTGTAAGTAGTAATAGTAATAGTGTAAGTAATAGTAATAGTGTAAGTAGTAATAGTATGAGTAGTGTAAGTAATAGTGTAAGTAGTAGTAGTAATGTGAGTAGTAGTGTGAGTAGTGTAAGTAGTAATAGTGTGAGTAATAGTGTGAGTAATGTGAGTAGTAGAGAAGAAATGCGGAGGAAGGGACAGATGGTGGGGGAGGCGGTAGTGCGTGGGTTGCTTTGGAGTAGTAATAGAGTGAGTAGTGGTCGAATGGTTGGTGGTGGTGTGGGTGGTAATGGTAGTGGTAGTAGTGGTGTGAGTGGTAGTAGTAATGGAGTGGATTGGGTGGGTGTGCTGGGTCGGGATAGGGAACAGTGGCGGTACTTGGCGGATGGGCCGGCTTTGTACCGGAAGGAAGTAGGGGGAGTAATTGATGGACGGCCAATGCAGTTGAAGAAGAAGTATGTAAGTCGGCGGAAATATGCTGAGGTGGGGACTGGTGTGACTCGGGGTGGGAAGAGAGATAGTTGCCCGATTTGTTTGAGTGATTATCGAGTGACGAGTGTGTGTGGAGTGCTTAAATGCCGGCATTGGTTTCATATGAAGTGCATTGAACAGCACTTGCAACGCTCGGGTGGATGTCCTATTTGCCGTAAGGACGTGATTAGTGGAGTAATCAATTAAATGGCTAACTAAGTAGTCAACTAAGTAGCCAATAGAATAAATATAATATTGAGATACGTTGTGTGATGTAATATGTAATAGGTATAATACTAGCTTGATATTGGATTAATGACATGTCCATGGGGAGAAAGGTTCCTCTTATTGAGTTGGGTTGGGTTGGTGTGGTGTGGTGTGGTGTGATATGAATCAAATAGTATATTATGGTGCTGGCAACAATAATGTTGTTACAATGTGTTGCTTGTGGAGTAGTAGTTAGTGAAGACTTTATTGCTAGCTGAATTGGCATGGGAGATGGGCTTAGCGTAAACATCGGCTCAAATCTTCTGCGGAATAGAATTCAAAGAGCTGGCGGTCATTGTCCATGGTAGGAGTGCCATTGTCGTCATCAGTGCAGTTGGTACGAATGAACTCGTCTTGCTCGTTAACGGCTAGACAGTACGTGTAGAGATGGATTTTGAAAGCAGGCTCGTTTTTGTAGTAGGGAGGTGAAATGGCCAGTCGGTTGGCTGTAGTGGTTGTATGGTAGAGACCCATATGAACGTAGCTCAGACCACCGAAAAGATCTAGACGTTGAACGTTTAGATGGTCATCATACCCGGCGTTAGTACCGAGAGAAAGAGTATGTTCGTCTGCTGCCCGAGCAATAAGCTGGTACGTGCCAATGCTATTAGTGTACCCAACTAAGATAGAGAGTGGTAAAGGTTTGATATCAGAAGGGTTATGGAACTTTAGAGACTGGGTGTTATCGCCAAGAGCCAGGAACTTTTTGCTGCCACGGTTATAGAGATAGCCGATGTTCTCTTTAGTGCTGTAGTAGTTGACTACCTTGCTAGCAGGGGTAGTTAGGCCGGTGGAATTGTTGTTAATATCGGGCGCGCCTGAAGAGCCATTAATGGTATCATAGGCAAACGAATTGGTTTTGATATCTTCGTTGTATTTATCCTGGGTTACCCAGACCCAAAGTTGGTTGCGGACCCATTGGGAGCTCGAATCAACACAAGTAGCTACCATGACCAGGTTATCACTATTATTCATATCCAGGCACAGCCCCTGTAGACCAATCCGCACCATTTGACTGCCCATGTAAGCAGGAGAGGTGTAATAGAAACGAGTCGTAGAATCACTGTTACTGGCCTTTAGAGTTACTCCAGTTCGATCAGCAATTCTATCCGCGCCCATATACATTGAGCCACCCGATTGATTTGTAAGGCTAAAAACAGCACTAGCAACCTGATCCGAAACAACTGTACTCATCCTAATTAAGTTAGCATCTTTAGGATCCGTCGCCAAGTACAAGTGATTGTTATTTAGTTTGCCAATAAACCGTTTGGCACCAACATTAAACAAGTACCCTGGCTTTTGGAAATCATACAATCCCCACACTAGGTTAAGTAGCAGACATAAAGCCACAACAGAGTAGCGAAGCAGTATCATTATTGAGTTTAATTATGGCCGGGTTATTTATGCTTAACATGATACTGTTTGTTTTATATCCACATACACCCATCAGGTGATTTGTTCATAATGTTTTATGATGCCATCATAATACGACCCCAGCCCACATCAACGCAATACCCTCCCATAACAATAGACACAAGCCATAACAATCCAATTTATTGCTCGCCCCAATCCAACCTAACTCAAACTAACCCAAACTAACCCAACCCAAACTAACCCACCTAAGCTGACATCTTCATTTTAATGGGAGGATGCGGCTCGTAGTCTTCCAGAACAAAGTCTTCGACCTGGAAGTCCTGAATAGACTTACGCGGCGTAGCAGGAGCAAGACGTACCTTAGGAAATGCCCGCGGTGTACGTGTTGCCTGCTCCGTAAGTTGTTCAATATGGTTGCGATAGATATGAGCATCACCAATCGTGTGCACAAACTCACCCTCAGGAATATTAGTCAAGTAAGATACCATCTTCAAAAGCAACGAATAACTAGCAATATTAAAAGGCACTCCCAAACCAACATCACCCGATCTTTGATAGAGCATTAAGTTAAGCCGGCCACCCGTAACTGCAAACTGAAACAAAACATGGCAAGGCGGCAAAGCCATCTCAGATAAAGCACACGGATTCCAAGCCGATACCACCAAACGCCGACTAGTTGGATTTTGTTTCAGTTCATTAATAACCCAATTAAGCTGGTCAACTCCTTGATTAGCATAATCAGCTTCACAGGTCGTATACTGCGCCCCAAAATGCCGCCACTGAAATCCATAGATAGGTCCCAAATCATCTTCTCGTCGCGAAATCCCACGAGAAGCCAAAAACTCTTTCGTCCCATTAAGATCCCAGATATGTACGTTTTTCTCTTTCAAAATCCGATTATCAGTTTCACCTCGTACAAAGAAGAGTAGTTCTTCAATTACCAAGCGCAGATTAACCCGTTTAGTTGTTAAAAGAGGAAAAGTATTATCTCTAAGCGAATATCTAGCCATATTACCAAAAACAGCAATAGTCCCAGTCCCAGTCCGATCTTCCTTATCAGCTCCCTTACCAAGTATATCCCGAATCAAATCCAAATACTGTTCCTCCTCATGTCTCATTTCCACTTTCTTTATGTCTTTCACACCCAAATCTAAGCACGTCATAAAAAAGAGTCCTTCCTCCCACTATATTCGTTTCATTTCCCGGCAACTCACTCAATATCTACTTCATACTAGCTGTCGTATTACTGAGTGGCAGCACCCCATTACCAACCAATACTAACTTCTACCAAGATATAATTAAGATAGTAGTGAGTAGTGAGTAGTGAGTAGTGAGTAGTGAATAGTATCAAGTAGTGAGTAGTGAGTAGTGAATAGTATCAAGTAGTGAGTAGTGAGTATGACGTGTATAGTACCCAATTGAGTTGGTATCTTCTTAAGCTAATTCCATTCTGTATTTGTAGTTGGGAGTTGTATTATGCCAATCTCGGAGTTCAATTTGATCTCCTATTCTTAGCACTACTGATGAGGAATAAAGATATGTTGACTTGTGTGTAACTCCTGCGAAACAGACTGCAACTCAACTAACACAAGCCCAGAACCCATGTGCATAAGCCAAGAATAGTGGTAGATACTCTGAATACCGCACTAACCCAATAATACTAACCCAATACTGACTCAATACTCACTTAGCAACGCATTGGACACCTCAGATAGGCATTTCAAATACGAATTATCACCACAACGTAACTCATCTCACCTAACACCATATCAACCTAATACCATATCAACTTAATGCCATATCAAAGTAACTCATTTCATTTAATACCATATCAAAGTAACACACCATCTAATACCATAACACACCCTATCTCACTTAATACCATATCAAAGTAACACACCACAACGTAACACCCAGCATCACTTAACACACCCTAACACACACCAACTCAACACCATATTAAAGTAACTCTTTTATTTCAAAACACCATCTCAATCCAGTCCATCTCTATTCCTCTCCAATTCATTCCAACTTACTCAAGCACCATTCCATTTCTCCCTATCTCACTACCCGCCTCAACTCGACTTAACTTCACTTCCTAGCTATACCAGGAGAACAGCACACGACCTAAACAACAGGAAGGTACTGAGTCCCAAATAGATAAAGAGTCAACCACAACAACTGGAGGACTCAATAGAGCTATTTACCATATCTCTAAAAAAGCTACACCAACCCAAGTTAAATTAGATAAGATAAGATAAGACAAAAATCAAAACATCTACTCAAATAAGATAAAACAATCTAAAGATAAAACAAAAACAAAAAACAAGATCAAAACAGCTTAACTAGATAACTCAGATTGATTTTTAAGAGTCTCTTCTTTAGCAAGCTTATTATCCTCCGATACACTCATTTCAGCACCACACGATTCACTAAAACTAGTTTCTGTTTGAGTAGATAAAGAATCCCGATCACTATCACTACCATCACTCATCTCACTCATCTCACTATCTTCCAAATCACTTTCACCATCATAATCCGTTTCCGAAGGACTTGAACTATGCAAAGTAGGCGGTTTAGTTATCATAGCACAAGTAACCGGTTCAGGAGCAGAAACAGAAGTACTCATTTCTAAGCTTTCTTCTTCCACCCCACTACCACTCCTCTCACTACCACTCTCACTACCACTCTCACTACCACTCACACTACCACTACTCTCACATCCAGATGATTGATACTCTCTTTTGATTTTTGATTCAGACTCATCCCTATCAGAAGATTTACGCTTATAAGACTCAAGAATACCTTTTGGTTTTGAAGATAAAGAAACAGCACTATCTACTCTTTTGGATTTTTTAGGACTCTCTGGATGACTATCTCTCTCACTATCTCTCTCACTTTCGCACTTGCGCTTCTTACTCACTTCATTCTCATTAGTCACTTCATTCTCACTAGTCACTTCATTCTCACTAGTCACTTCATTCTCACTAGTCACACTTATCTTATTAGTTGTGATATCAGGTGAGGTAGTTGTGATATCAGTTGGAGTAATAGTTGTGATATCAGTTGGAGTAGTAGTTTTGTTTAGATAAGATACATCGGGTAAAGGCATTTGATTAGCTCGAGCAGCTGCTTCCTTCTCTGCAGCTACTTTAGCTAGCATTTTCTTGGACTTATAAGGCCGAGAAGGAGTATAACTGGAAATCCGATCATAATTAATCTGGCGACCAACTCTTGGTACTACATCAGCCCAAGGTATTCTATCTAAGTACCCAGTCACTACTCTACGCGTATAATCTAGCATCCGATAAACTTCCTGCTGCTCCAACTTACTTAAGTTAAGGAACATAGTACAACACTCTGGATTCTGCTCAGTAAAAGCCTCCCAAACTCTATTAAGCTTATCAGCCCCACCATTCTGCCAAACATCTTTATGTGTATCAGGATCCCAGTAAATACGATAAGTCATCTCATCATCCATAATCAAAGCTTCATGTAACAACCCTCTACCCTTAAAGAAATCAATCCGTCTAGATAACCAAGTAAGATAATCACGACTACAACCTACTCCTAATTCTTGTGGCATCGGATCTTTCTCTAAAAAAGCATCTTCAAGTTCATTCAACCACTCATACTCTTCCGGATGTAAGACCTTCTCCTCTTCATAGATATTATATAAAGCATAAGCATACTGCATTAAAGTCTCTTTTACCTTACCTCCTTTAGGAAAGCCTTTCTCCCGTTGAATAGGTTCTCGCTTATCAATCCTATCTTTAAACTTCATAATATCTTCATAAAAGATACGCCAATCATCAGCCGGAAAGACTCGTGAAAAGTAAACATTATCAGCTACAGGTACAGTAAATAAACAAGATTCATCTAATACATCCTTAAGAGTAGTTACATCAATAGCAGCTACAGCTACTGAATGTTGACCACCAGCTGAAGCACTAATAATAGGACCAGCCACAGGAAATTCAACTTTACTCGGAGTATGATCCTTATCTACTTCCCGACCTAATTGGCCACACTCACCAAATCCCCAACTATACAACTCACCCTTAGATAAAGCTAAACCATGATTAGCCGTAATAGAAAAGTCAGTAACCTTATCAGGAATTTGACACCGCGTAAATTCAGAACGATCTTTAAAGTCTCCTACACCCAACTGACCCGAGTCATTCCGACCTACAGCCCAAAGTGTACCTTCCTGGTCTAGTAAGTGTGAACTATGCGTGCCTCCCATTACCTTCCTTACTGAATCGGGTAACATAGAATTAAGTTGAGGTTGAGTTTGAGTGGAGTTATCAGTATTAGGTTGAGTAGATTGAGTGGAGTTATCAGTAGTAGTAGTATTAGGTTGAGTGGAGTTATCAGTAGTAGCAGTAGCAGATTGAGTAGAGTTATCAGTAGTAGATTGAGTTTGGTTATCAGTAGCAGTAGTAGTAGTAGCATTATCAGTAGCAGTAGCAGATTGACCAACACCAACACCCTCCTCATTGCTGCTCTCATCATCTCGACGGATGGGCACATGACTGCGGAAGGCCCAACCACCTCGTGCGGCAGCAGCTGCATACTCTTCAGCTGTTAACTGGCTGTAGTTATTGTTCCCAGCAGTGAATAAGCGATACTCTTCAGAAGACTCGTCTGGTTCTCGGGCTAAGTTAACTAAGTGGGAAAGGTACCTAGTCGGATACCTTGGTTCTCCTCGGGCTCTTCTCTCCTGACGTGCTCTTCTATTCCGGGCTCTTCTTTCTGCTAAAGTTTGCTGTCTTTGCTGCAGGGGTTGAGCTTCTCTCTCCTTCCGGGCCTCTTTAGACTCGTACTTGAACTTCTTAGCCCCAGTTAGAAGACCTCGACCAGTCGGTGTCTCTGAAACAACCAACTCAGCCTCACTATGCACTTGAGTCTCCCCAGGATAAGCATAAGGTACTACTTTCCTGGTACAAACTACTCTCTCCCGACAAGTCTTAATAGGAACAATAGGAACAATATCATTATCTGGACAACATAATAAAACCTGATCATAAGCCTTAGTAGCTGTAATTCGGTCAGTTACATAGTATCTATTACCTTCTGAGTCATAAAAATCTACTTCTACCCGACGAGAAGGACTAATTCTTCTCCCCCTTCTATTCCGGTTAATCATTCTATCTACTTGAAAGGCTAAAGAATGATGAGCACCTGCTCCGGCCCCTTGAATATTCCTGAGAGTAATTCTTGGTTTTAAAGCATTCTTCTTAGTATTCCGAGTAGTTTTATACCCTAATTTACCTCCAGCTGAATCACCCCAAGCCCAAAGATTTTCATCTAAGTCAATAGCTAGTAAGTGATTACACCCGGCATAAACTTCCTTAAAACGATGACCTTCTACTAGTAAAGGTGTCCATTGAATATCAACAATCTTATCTTCAGCTGTAACTGAATGACCTATCTTACCATTATCCCCACGAAAGACTCCCCAAGTCCATAAACGACCGGCCTTATCTATAGCAGCTGAAATAGAATCACCAGCTGCTACATGAGTTACTGCAACGTTCTTTTCCTTAAAGATAACTTGGGCTGGTTCGGAATCGTTTGAACCTCCTCGGCCTAAAACACCTTCATCATTACAACCCCAAGAGTATAATTGACCCTCGGCTGAGATGGCAAAGGAATGCATCCCACCACAGATAACCCTTACAATTTTCTTATCATCAAAATAAGAAAGAGGAAAGGGAAGGACTCGCTCGTATACATCGGACTTATCACCATGTTGCTCACTATCATTGGACCCCCAGACAAAGACCTGAGTTATAATTCTTCTAAAACTATTCGTCATTGTATTGAAAAAACCCATCTGAATTTTATAATATTTTAGCTGGAGAAATGAGCTTCTTATATAGTAGAAGAATTGCGGACGAAAAAGGAAAATCCCAAAAAATACCTAAAATAGAAAGTGTTGCGAACGAAAAAGGAAAAAAATGGCTTTTTAATTAGTAAATTTATTGAGGGCCGGGCTGAGCTGCAAATTTTTCTCAAATTTCGAATATTTTAGCTAAAGTTACTGTGTTTATTATTGGGTTAGGTAAAGTTACTGTGAAATTGAGTTAGGTGTGGTGTGGTGTTATGTGGGTTTAGGTGGGTTTAGGTGGGTTTAGGTGGAGTTGTGTGGGGTTGTGTAGGGTTTATATGGGGTTATGTAGGGTTTATGTGAGTTTGTGCTAGGTTTATGTGAGTCTATGTGAGGTTTATGTGGTATAGAATAAAGGTGTGTAAAGGTGTATTTGGGTGTATAAAGGTGTATAAAGTTGTGCCAAGTTAGTATATAATAAAGGTGAGGTTGGTATTGGGTTAGTGTGTGTTATTGTGTGATGGTATTAGTGTAGGTTAGTGTGTAATGTGTTAGTATTGGGTTAGTGTGATGTAGGATGGTGTTAGTGTAGGTTAGTCTGATGTAGGATGGTGTTCGTACACACTAGTATGTGATGTAGGACGGTATTAGTGCGTGATATAGGACAGCATTAGGATGTGCTGAGGAGGAGCAATATTTAGTGTATATAGCAAAGCACCCTAAACTGTGTAGGATTAGGTAGTAACAAGCAGCAAAGCATTCAACTTAATACTAACTAAACTCAATACTAACTCAATACTTAACTAAACTCCACCACACCACACCTAACTAAACTCAATACTAACTCAATACTAACTTAACTTGTTTATTACAGGGCTACTAAGCCACCACACGGGCTGGTACTACCTTAGTAGTAGACTAAAACTCGAATTTGAACTCTTCCTCCGGGGAATGTTCGGGGATATTAGATTCTTCTTGGGTTATTGCTTTGGGTTTGGACTTGGTGACTTTCTTTTCTCTTTCGATTCGTAAAATGGACTGCTGAATGATTTCATCGGTTGGATAGGCGGGGAATCGACCTTCTAAAGGCGTACCTTCAGTCCATAGTAATGGGCACTTGCTGTACTTGGCTAATAGTTGGCTATACTCTAAAACTGCCTCTAAACCTCCGGATAATTCTCGTTCGGAATCGGCTACTATGGCTTTGGCCTCTTGCAGCCAGACTTCTTTCTCTTCTATCTCATTGAATAGTCGTTTGGCAATTAGGAATACACTCTCAGAGACTTCTTCATTCTCCTTATTGAAACCTTCTAAACTCACTCGATAAATTAAGTCTAATTCTTCAGCTACTGCCTTAATCTTACGCAATAACTCCTTCCGTACAACTAAATTCTCTCCTACTCCCGTACTTACTCGATTTAACTCGGTCAAAAGACTAACTAATTCGTCACTATTCTTCCTAAATAGCTCATCCATAAATAAAAAGAGTCCATTGAGTTAGTATGGAGTGGGGTTGATGTGGGTTGAGTTAAGTTAACGTTGATGTGGGTTAGGTTGAGTTACAATACACCTTTACCCAATACCAACTCATACCAATCTTAACTTAACTTAATACAACCAATTTATAGTGAGATAATTGCAGATAGTGCGTAAATAGTTTGTCTATCTAGTGGGTATGCTGTTGCTTTATTGTCTCTAGACCTTCCATAAACTAGCCGGCTCTGATTGATTTGTTCTCTACTCTACTACACTAAACTAAACTAACACTACAGTAGACTACACTTTACTATACTCTGCTAAACTATACTATACTCTACTCTACTACACTTTGCTTTATTACACCTTACTAAACTATACTCTACAGTACACTTTACTTTACTATACTACACCTTACTAAACTTAACACCACACCACATCACATCAACCTGACTTAATACAATCTAACTTGCCAACAACTTAACACCACACAACACCACATTACACTAAACTCAAACAAAACCCAACCCCATACTAACCCAACTCAACCCAACCCACATCAACCCAACTTAACCCAACTTAACTCAACCCAACTTAACGTAATACTAACTCATTTATTTTGTCTTTTTTTTGGTCCCCATGGCAAAAGCAATCTCATTGAACAAAACCGGTAAAGTTAGAGGGACAACTCCAAAAGTAGCAAAGGCAGATAAGCCTAAACCTAAAAAAGGAAGGGCAGCTAAACGGGCTTTATATGAAAATAGATTAACTAAGGGGTACTTTGAAGGAGCAATGAAGATGAACTCACAAGAGGTTAAATAAAGTAATAAGAAGGTTTATGTTAAATTGAGTTACGTTATAGTTAGATTGTGTTTAGTTGGGGTGGGTTATAGTTAGATTGTGTTACGTTATGGTGTTTATTTGATTGGGGTTGTCATACGATCACTACCTAATAGTAATACTTAGTGTTACTTAGTACTTAATACTACTGCTTAGTGCTAATGCTACTACTAATACCACTACTATACCAATACTACTACTTAATACCACCACTACTATACCACTACTATACCACTACTAACACACTTTTACATGTCTAATAACGGTATCCTTTTAGTCATCTTAAGGAATGTCTTTATGGGTTGATATTGAGTTGAGTTGAGTTGAGTTGAGGTGTGTTGAGTTGAGTTGAGTTGAGTTAGTATTGAGTTAGTATTGAGTTAGTATTGAGTTAGTTGAGTTTTTGATGTAGTAATCTAATGTGTATATACTAATTTGTGTTCTTTCACTTGATGCTAGAAGGGGATGGATATATAGAAAAGAAACGACGTGGGAAGAGTCGACGGGTTAAGGAGGAGGGGAAGAAGCGCGTACGTGTTTATTCGGATGGAGTCTTTGATATGTTTCATTATGGACATATGCGGATGTTGGAACAGATTAGGAAGAGGTTTCCGATGGCTGAGATTGTAGTTGGTGTTTGTTCGGATCGGGATACGCGGGAGAAGAAAGGACATACGGTTTTGGAGATGTGGGAACGGGCGGAGTCTTTGCGGCATTGTCGTTGGGTTGATGAAGTGATTGAAGATGCACCTTGGGTGATTACAAAGGCGTTTATTACGGAGCATCGGATTGATTATGTGGCCCATGATGGTGATGTTTATCCGGGTGAAGGTATTGAGGATGTCTATCAGGAAGTGAAGGAAATGGGTATTTTTGTGGCTACAGAAAGGACACAAGGTATTAGTACAAGTCAGTTAATTACTCGGATCTTACGATCTTATGATGACTTTTTGAAACGGAACTTAGGTCGGGGAGTGACGGGGGAAGAGTTGAATATTTCGAAGTTTACGGAAAGACGCATGAAGTTTGGGGTTCGGGTTGAGGAGAATTTAGGGAAGATTCGGGAGAAGTTGAAGGAAGTCTCCGTGTACTGGGATAAGATTTCGGCTGAAGTTGGGAAGAAGTTTGCCATGCTATTTGAACGACCCGTCTAGAAATTAGGGTGAGTGGTGTTGGGTTGGTGTGGTGTGGTGTGGTTGGTATTGTGGTGGTGTGGAATTGGGGTAAGTTGGACGTAGTTAGTCTATGCAAGCTATAATTGAACTATATTAGGGATGATTATTGGGTATAGGTGATAATTAGGGGATGAAAGGTGTTATAATTAACTATATTAGGGATAATTAGCAGGTATAAATATAGGAGAGAGGGTAAATGGATGCATGGAATGATTAGGAGTTTAGTGATAATGATGTTGGTGACTTTGGTCTTGGGGTCGAGTCAGAGCATTCCTTTGGTGATTAACCTTACACGGCCGGGGCCACAGACCCGGGATTTTGTTCTGAGAGACCTTACTGATACGATAAGAGCTCAGTTTGGAGCAAGAGAAGTGAGTTATAATCCGGATAGGCCAAATATGCTTAAGGTTTCTACGAGCTATTACCAGCTGCCAAAGACAGTGCTGGTGTTTGATTACAAAGGACTGTCGGTCAGTTTTGGCACGGTTGTAAGTCGCTCCACTAACAATTATGATTCTTACATTATGATACTCAATAAGAGGAACGACCAAGGTAAAATTCGGCTAAGTGTTTGGGAGAAAAGCATTTCTATGCAGCCTTCTGGAATGCTACGTGATAATGCTTTCTTTGAGCTAATTGCGGAGATTGAAAGACTAGTTTTGTCTGTCGGACAGAGGTATGGAACTATTAGCCAGGCCCAGATGAGAAGGATTACAGCCAAATTGGGTTAGTTTGAGTTCGTTTGGGTTAGTTTGTGCTAGCATTGGGTGGTTATCTAATAAAAGCATTAGGTTTAGTATTGAGTTGAGTAGAGTTGGGTTGGGTTGAGTTGGTTTTAGTATTAATAATGTGCTAGTATTGTGTTAGTATTGTGTTAGTATAGTATAGTATTGGGTTGAAATTTGGTTTATTGACTGACTGGTTGAGTTGGTATTGGGCTGGGGTGGGGTGTAGTTGGACTGGGTGAAGTTGGCTGGTTGGTGTCGAAAGAGGGCGGCAAAAGACCTACCCAAATGACTGTGTCCCCGCGGAGAAAGAGATTACCCAAATCACGATGAAAGACTTGCTCTTGCTTTCTTTTGATGCCGCGATGGGAACATGGAGGCTGGGTGCGCTTTTCAATGGCTTCGGATAAAAGAAGATTGAAGTGTTTGTCGACGGCTTGAAGGCGGCCGGTAATTTCGCGGTTGTTTTGGCACTTGACATTAATAATTGACTGCTCTTTGCTGAGTTTCTGGAGGCGCTCAATGGGACTCACAGCCATAGAGATGTAAAAATTACTTGATTTGGTAAGTACTGATATGCATCAGACCTAGATTTGAAAAGATTACAGATGCTTGATGAATAAAGGTATAAAGGAAGAGGGAATTTAGACGCCATGAAGTATTCAGATAAAGGAGTAAATGTCTTCGATATGATTCCGTGTCTTGCCCTCGTTGCTATCTTGTCTAACAATTCGGTCAATGGTATGGTCAAAAAGGCTATAATTGTGGAGTCTGTGGTTTTTCTGGTCTTAGTGGTGGTATATAACAAGAAGAGTCCGTGGATTAAACCCCTTCTAATGTGCTTGATTGTTTCTCAGGCTTTGTTTTTGGGTCTTCGGGATAACGTCATTCTTCCTTACCTTGACAAGCAAGGATACCTTCCAAAAGGGGCTTGGAAAGGTCCCGATGAGAAAAATGAGGATGTATGTAGCCAGCCAGATTTACATTCAGAAGAGGAAGGTCCCACTAGTGCGCTGATGGATGCAGCCAGCCAGGAAGTAAACAGTCAGGAAGTAAGGGATGCAAAAGACACTAGCACTAAACCTAGCCGTAAAGCTACCGAAAAGAAGTCTAAACCGTTATGCGGATGCATCGACTGTCTTGAAACCCGTGGGAGATGTTATTGTTCTTCTTGTCAAAGTATGCGCTCTGCACACACGCAGTGTCCTTGCGATACGTGCCAAGCAAGCCGAAAGGACTGTAATTGTGTCAATTGTCGCAATAGCCGTCTTGTTTCTCAATGCAGTAAGTGCCTTCAATATATGCCTACGCCGGCGCCGGGAATGCCTATGGCTTCATACTATCCTAACTATGGGCCAGTGCCTCAATTCGCTACGCCTACACCCGCGCCCACATATAGCAATTGTTGCCCGCCTAATCCTCCTAGTACCCGATCTAAGCGTGGGCACAATTCATCTCATAGCCGCACGACACCTTCCAAAAAACCTAAATCTGCTCCTGGCCCCAATACTAAGCCTAGTCCCTGTTTAACAGATCATACATCCGCACTTACACCTATCTCCGACCCTAAAGAGCAAAACCCTTCAGCTTTGGCCAAACTTTCGCCGACTATCAATGAACTAGCCCTCTCCAGTTCAGTAAATCCTTCACCAACCCCGCTGATCTTACCCCCTGATACATCCGTTCCAATGAACAAGAAGAAGTCTACTCGCATGTGCATGGAAAAGGAATGTGTTAACTGCAAACCAAGCAAGTACGATGACCTGAATAACTGTCCGCGCAAAGATTGTCTCACGTGCCGAATTGATTGGCGGTTAGCTGATGCCCTTAAGGTGAGTATTGGAGCAGAATACCCGATCCTGCACGAGTACATGTCACAACACACACCAAAGGAAAGACGTCAACTCCTGGGCTGGCTTTGTGAATATGCTGATCAAGAATCGGAGGCTCAAAAGCGACGGCTTGATCAAAGCCGAGGCATTCCTCCCGCCCTGCCCGCGCCCAATGATCCGGCATACACTCCAAAGACGCTTTCTGAGCTCGAACAACTCATTCCTAACGATGACCTTAAGCAATTCCTCAGGTTTCAGGCGGAGTTGGAAATTCTAGCCCAAGCGATGGTCCGTCGCGATTACATACGTTATCTGTCCGCCAGCCCTCTGGAAAGTGATAAGAAACTAGCTGAAACACAGCGGACAATTGATCATAACGAGCGTGTGGAGCTATACGACCAACTTGTATATGGCGATTCTGCATATATGTCCGACTCTTCTTCCATGCTTATGTTCGGCTCAACCTAATACCAACCCAACCCTCTCCTAACTTTATGATGAAATCAAATAGAAGTAGACCTTGCGCCTGGAAGTACTTGGTTCTACTTTTACTTGATCCCACCATCCCTAACCCAACCTAACCCAATCCCAGGTCTGTTACATTCTCAGACGGTAAATAAAAGCGATGACAACTGATTTGTATGAAATAAGTGCGGATGTATTGTCTATGGGAAAAGCTTGTTGGGTGCACGCTGGCTGCTCTTTATTCTCTAGTGTGTCCAGTCTTATATAGATGTTTTGGCGGCAGCGGGTACTTGCGCGGCATCTTGCTGGTTGCCATCATATTTGAGAAGGAGCCTGAGGGCGGCGGTGAGGGTTCGTCTTTGAATCTTCTCAATAAGAACCTCCACATGCGATCCTTTAATGGCTACTGGAACTGTAACTATTGGATTTGAACTGGGGTTGGAAGGCTTAGCAACTAACAGAAACAATCCGAACTGATTTGTGATTTCAGGGAGCTCTTGATCCGCTTCTAAAACCGAGAGGATGTTGCGATAGGAGGTGTGGAAGACCCGAGTGGTTCGCGGGGCAATTGCGGCAATTCCTTCACAGGTCATTCGCCATTTTCCTTCTTCTTGGTTGTCTTTGGTCTTCCAAAAGAGGGAGAAGACACGAGTACCCGCAAAGACAAGACGCAGAGCGCCGGGAGCTCGCTGGGCAATGTTCATACCGACGGAGTTAAGAGCATAAACATTCTTGTATTTGTCCGTTTTGGCAACTAAATTGGTATCAACTGCTCCCCACTGCCCTTCTATCTCTTCTCTTTTGGCCGCATCAACCATAAAGAGGTAAGACTCTTCGATGCTCTTTTCTCCTCTAATTGGAGTAGTCGAGGCGGTGGCTGGGTTAATGGGGGACTGTGGAGTGGTAGGCAATGTAGTGGTAGGCAATGTAGTGGTTGCATTGGCTAGGGAGTTTGTTGTGGTAGTAGTGGTTGGTGCTGGCTGCTTTCGGATTTTGGTGATAAAGAATCCGCCGGTGTTTTGATCGTTAGGAAGGACTCTTCGGCAGTTCTTAATGCTGGGGTGGTAGGGGAGAGTTTGCATTTCTTGGTCACCAGCTGATAGAGTAATGGCGGCTCGGATAGCCGATTCAGAGAGACCGTCACGGGCAATCAGACCTTCAATATCAAATGGGACGATTTTGGCCTGAGGCCGTTCGGCAAGCAGACTCATGATAACTAGTTCATTTTCGATCGGGTTCAAGGAGCAAGTCGAGTAAACAAGAATGCCGTTTTCGGCTAATAAATCGAAGCCCCGTCTGATAATCTTCTTCTGAACTTTGAAAAGACCTAAAGCCTCTTTAGACGACCACGTCTCAAAGATATGGGGATTCTTTCTGAGTGTGCCGTCTCCTGAACAGGGCACATCGCATAGTACTCTATTGGGCACAACTCCGGGGTGAGGGTACATGGTAGCATCGTTGCACGACACAAGGAGCCCGGGGTGCCCAAATCGTTTGGTTTGCTTGATTAGCTGGTCGACTCGTCGTGTGTTCACGTCATTGCAAAGAGCCACTCCATCTGGTCCTAGCGACTCCAAGATTTGAGATGATTTAGAACCAGGCGATGCGCACATATCCAAAACGATTGAGTTTGGCTCTATCTCCAAGGCATAAACAGGAATCATTGAAACTGCCTCTTGCCGAGTGATCAACGAGCTTTCACAGAACGTTCTAAGAAACTGACTAATTTGCATCAAGTCATCTTTATCTAAACTATGCTGGTTAGTGCGAATCCCCTTACCGGTTAAGTCTTTTCTAGATAAGCAAACTTCATAGATCCTCTCTCCCCAAGGTAGTCTTCGAACCAATCGATTTCTTTCGGCCTCAGCACTAATAATATCTCCCCATGGCCCAGGAATCACTCTAAAAGTGATTGGCAACGGTTCTTTCAACTTCTCAATCACAGCACCGCACTCACCCAAGATTCCCGTATAGTATTCTAAAAGCCGCTCTGCGCCTTCTTTACGCCTCAACTCTTTACGACCGCTACTCTCTCTTTGCATCAAAATTAGCAGTTGGCCAAAATATGTACTGCAGTATTGGCTTGGTATTGTGTTGGTATTGAGTTGGTATTGGGTTGTGTAATAGGGTTTGTGTTAGGTTGAATTGGTATTGAGTTGTCTTGTGTTAGATTTAGATTGATTTGAATCTGAATCTAAATCTGAATTTGAATCTAAATTTGAATCTGAATTTGAATTTGAAATTTAGTTTAAGTTGAGTTTGTTTTCAAATTAGATTGGGTTATGTTTAGATTTTTATAAGTCGAAATACTAATCAAAGGTCTTTATTTAAAAACAACAGATTTAAGATTAAGTTATTGGGTTAGTACTGGCGTAGGTGGAAATAAGATTAACTATGTCCCACTTATCTTACAACCTTCTAATTTCTGGTTTAAAGAGTCTAATTATACCTCTGGATAGATAGTACCAGAACTTGGGTTTGACATACTAACCCAATTTGGTATTTCACACTAACTGAATACTAATTTAATCTTATATGATATACCTTGGTGGCTTGTTAAACGAGATATGCTTATCGGCCATACCAAAAAGCACTAAGCCGTCATTTTCTCTTTGAAAGATGAGTGATTTGGGCTTGTTTTGAGGGGTACCCTCAATGTATGACGAGGTAAAATAAACTCTTTCTGGATCCTTAGTTGCCCGCATGGATAGTTCTTCTGGAATCTCAAACTCGCCGTTGAATTCAAGAATTTCCACTTTAGCTAGACTAGAGGGATCGATTACAAAGCGCATCCCGTAAAAATCTCTAATGCATAAATGGCTCTGTGACACAACGATAAATCGGGTGCTTAAGTGCTTTTCTAACAACACGCCAGGGGTTGCCATGCTCGGATATCCTCTTAAAGACGGCGAAACACCCCATACTCTGCTGGTTAGCACCTTTTATTTCGAGTCGCTTAAGAGCTCAGGAATGTTGCGAATTTCAGAATGGCTGGCCAAAATACCCATTGATACTATCCAGCGCATGATTATTCCTTTGTTTAGCAACCACCATTGGTCTTTATCGGTGGTTTATCCTAAGCTAGGCCTGGGCGTGGTCCTAGACCCATTAAGGCCCTATCATAAGGAAGTCTCTAAGATACTCCTGCAACATTCTGGAGTGGAAGTCGTTCTTTATAACGAATCTGTCGTGCAGCAGACTAACTCCAGTGATTGTGGGATTTACACTCTTTACTACACCGGCTGCCTTGTAAGCAAGAAGATACATAGACTATTTCAACCGGTTCCAGCCGAGTTCATCAAGCTAATGCGCGAAGAACAGCTGGCCAGTGAAGAAGCCGAAAAGGAGCAAGAGACTCTTTCCGACTAGTATATCCAATGAGACCTGTTATTTTTATGCTGCGGCGAGTAATGAACTGGATACAACGGAGGCCGGGAGATCCTGAAGTAACTGCCTTCTTTGAAGAAACAACCGAAGAGTGCTTTAACAAGTGCGTAAGCACTATAGCCCATCCTCTTAACAAGAAGGAGAAGAAATGCATTGAACAGTGCACTCTCATTCGTTTAGAAAGGCTCAGAGATATTGAGCAGGCAATAGCCAGTCATATTCAGAAGAAGAACAAGTAAACGGCTGTTTATTGATTATTACCAGCTACTTACTATAATAAACTATCTTATCTACTAGATTGGGTTAAACTTGTTTATACACTCCATTAAAGGGGTCTGTTTCTATAACTAGAGAGTGTTGGCATCCCGGGCACTTAAAAGAGAAGGAGTAGATAGTAACACCCTGGGTAGTAGTTGAAGATTTCTTGGCATAGATCTTCTTGCCCTGGGGAGTAGTCATGGCACAGTTAAGGCATGGGGTTGGAAAAGGAACCACAAAGCGAACACGGGTCATGAAATTTGGGGTGAGTAAAGTAAAGTATAGTTTGAGTAAAGTATTGGGTTAGTAATAAAGACTGAGTTTATTAGAAGTTTAGTTTAGGATTAGAGGGGGTGGGATTAAGTTAATATTAGAATAGGAGGTAGAGTTGGGGAGTCGAAGAGGAGAACAAAAAGTGCAGCACCTTGTGTTCCCACGCGGTCACCCATCGCAGTACTATCAAGGCTGTCACGGGCTTAACTTCGGAGATCGAACGGGATCCGGTGCTTACCCGAGCATATGGCCGCACATGTGTAGATTGAGTTAGGAGGAGATGTGGTTGGGTTAAGATGAGTTAGGAGAGGATGTGGTTGGGTTAAGTTAGGTTGAGTTAGGTTGAGATGTGGTTAAGATGAGTTAGGTTGAGTTAAGATGAGTTAAGATAAGATAGGATTAAGTTAAGATGAGTTAAGATGTGGTTAAGTTAAAATATGGTTATTATTGGATTAAGATAAGATGTGGTTGATTTAGGTTAGGTTATAAAATGGGTTAGAGTGTGTGTGTATTGACTTTCATACTATGGTCTAGATTGATTGCGGTTAAATTGGTTGGTTAGTTGGTGTGGTGCCGTTTTGACAATAGGACATTCCACTTTAAATAACCAAACATTGACGTCACTCAATACTAACCACATGATATTGATTTAGGACCGGTTGGGTTTATTCCTTTTGGGTCTGACTTTGCCTAGTAAATAGTGCGTAGAGTAGTGATTGTTGAGGTCTAGTGTGCGTTTGGATTTGGCCAGAATCAGAATCTTCCTTAGCATCGGCCTCATCGCTGCTGATGGCGTTTCTCCTCTTTTGTTTTCGGGCCAGATAAACAAGGATGCCTTTGTTGAAGGAAAAGATATCGGTGATAAGAAGAGTGGTGTATGCCAAATGCACTGCAATTCGCAGTATGATTGTAATGATTAGATAAGGATAAATTTCTGGATCTTGTATGTCTGTTGGGTCTGGGCGAACAATATCCCGAAAGAAAATGATCTGGGTTAGTAGATAAACTGCCAATAGTATATTGAGTATAATATTAATGATCCTGATCGAGAAAATCTCATAGCAATCAACTTGATAGATTGTTATCATAGCCACATAGAGAATGGTTTCTATGATTAGAGAAGTTCCAATATCCATAATCAAAAATGACACAATCCAGATCGACATAAACAGCTGGAATCCGGTTTTAAAAGATAAGGTTAGGAGTTTGCGAATTGAAAACATGTTGTTCTGTTTAATGTTGGCTCCAAAGGTCTTATAGTGGAACCAACTGAACTCCTTTCGCTGTTTGGCAACTATGTACAACATAATAAGCGCATCTGATGCGATGCCAGCAATATTAAAAGCCAAAACAGCATAACGCACATCTGATCCTGTATCTAGCGTTAGGGTTATCCAGAGGCGAATACCCATAATAACAAACTGGGTTAGAGTACAAGCAATAACCTGCATAAGGTTTCTTTGTAGGAGTCCTTCAGTCATCAAAACTCCGTAGATTAGCTTTGCGATAAACCCATTGCTTATAAATGTTGTTAGGGAAAAGTAGCGTACGTCTATTCTTACGGTAGGGGAGAGCTGAACTCGCGGTGGAACGGCGTATAGAAGCATTTGGGCTGTCATGGAAAACATTATCTCTAAATACAATGCCGCTAGAGTCAAGGAAATCTCTTTGGTAATTGTAATGTCATTGTAGTTGCTGACTAGGTTGTAGCTCTCCATCCCGAAAGTAAGACGCAGCTATATATAAAGCCTATTCTGGTCTTATTGAAGGTGCTAGGCGGGGGGCGTCAGAATTGACCGAAGCAATACTAAACCCAAAACAGTAGTTGATTTCAGGTTCTGAGTTTGTGTTGAGTTGGGTTAAGTTAGGTTGGGTTTTGAGTTGGGTTAAGTTGGATTGGATTAGTTGGGTTGCTATTTTGGCATCATTAGGTTAAGTTGTGATTAAAGCTGTTGTATGACATAAATGTCACTCATTGGTTCATACCAAAGTATGAAGATAGTTGGTCATAACAAACAAGGTCTTATTTGTACTTGATGATAACATCAGGAGATCATAAAGTATAAATAACGATGAAATCAATAAATACATTGTAGTTTCATGGCCCGACCAAAACAAGTAAAGCAATACTTAAAGCAATACTCAATACTAACCCAATACTAAACCTAACATATCACATGGTTTTGGGTTAGGGACTGTTGAATCTATTCTTTCTGGTCCTGATTTTGTCTATGGCTGGCTCTACTAAACAGCGCGTACAATAGTGATTGTTGAGGTCTAGTGTGCGTTTGGATTTGGTTAGAATCAGAACATTCCTTAACACCTTCCTCATCGCTGCTGATGGCATTTCTCCTCTTTTGTTTCCGGGCCAGATAAACAAGGATGCCTTTGTTGAAAGAAAAGATATCGGTGATAAGAAGGATGACGTATATCAAATGCACAGCAAGTCGTAATAGAATTGTGATAACTAGATAAGGATGGCTCGCCATGCTAGTTTCCTCTGTAGGCATAGGTCGAACGAAATGGTTAAAGAAGATGGTCTGAATTAGTAGGTAAGCCGCCATAAGTAAGTTGAGCATAATATTAATGATTCTGATCAAAACGATTTCGTAGCAATCAACTTGATAAATTGTTATTAGTATAATATAGAGGGTAGTTTCAATGATTAGAGAGGCTCCTATGTCCATAATCAAAAAGGACACAAACCAGATAGAAATGAATAACTGGAACCCTGTTTTAAAGGCCAGATCTAACAGTTTACGGATCGAGAACATCTTATTTTGTCCGATGTTGGCCCCAAATATCTTGTAATGGAACCAGCTAAACTCCTTTCGTTGTTTGGCAGCTATATAAAGCATAATAAGCGCATCTGCTGCAATGCCAGCAATAGTAACGGACATAATAATATAACCAACATTTGATCCTTCATCTAGTTGTAAGGTTATCCAGAGGCGAATGCCCATAATAACGAATTGGGTTAGAGTACAGATAATGACCTGCATAAGGTTTCTTTGTAGCAGACCCTCAGTCATCAGAATTCCGTAGATTAGCTTTGCAACAAACCCATTGCTCATAAAAGCGGCAAAAGATAGATAGAGAATGCCAGTGTCGGTCGGATTGCTAAGAGGGATCCGCTTCTGAAGTGTGTATAGAAGCATACTCGCGATCATGTATAGCAGTATATCTAAATACAGTATTGCTATAGTTATTGAAATCTCATTTGTGATGGTAATGTCATTGTAGTTGCTGACTAGGTTGTAGCTCTCCATCCCGAAAGGAAGACGGAGCTATATATAAAGCCTATTCTGGCATTATTGGAGGTGCTAGGCGGGGGGCGTCAGAATTGACCGATGCCGTATAGTATAGACTCAATAGCCACTCGGCTGCTAATAATGCTTCTTTATTGCCATATTTGAGATGGAAACTTGAAATCAAATATATGTTTTGGCCAGCAGACACTATAGTTTGCTGCAATATAAGTTCTGGTAGTCACCAAGCTTCTTGGTGATCCACGCACGATCCACACTCGAACCTCCCTAATAAGACCATAATAGGTCTTATATATACCCCCGCCTTCCTTTCGGAATGGGTAGATACAGTCTAGTGCGCAGCTACAATGGTATCACCATCACTAAGGAGATTTCAGTTATTCTGGCAGTGATTTATCTGGATCTATTTGTCTATATGGTGTCATTGTCGCTTTTATATGCACTTCAGATGCGAGTTCGGTTTTACCCTACAGCAGATATAGAGACACACTACTATTCTCTATCGGCCTTTTTAAACAACGGATTTGTAGTCAAACTAGTCTATGGTGTTCTGATGACAGAGGGGCTATTAAAAAGAAACCTTATGCAAGTTGTTGTCTGTACCTTAACGCAGTTTGTTATTATGGGCATTCGGCTCTGGATGATTCTGGTGCTAGATGCTGGAACAAATCTTCGTTATCTTGTTTTGGGTTTTAATATTGCCGGAATTGTAGCGGACATGCTTATTATGCTGTACATAATTGTTAAGCAGCGAAAAGAGTTTGTCTGGTTCTTCCATAAACCCTTTGGAACGAACACCCAATGTAACACCATGTTTTCTATTCGAAGACTCCTAGATTTATCACTTAAGGCGGGCTTCCAGCTATTCATGTCGATGCTGATTATTTCCTTTTTGATTATGAAAGTGGGGGTCACTTTAATCGTTGAAACTGTGCTTTATGTGGCTATACTACTGATTTCCCAGATTGACTGCTACGAGATTGTCTCTGTGAGAATGGCTAATATATCACTTAATTTCGGCATGACAGTCTTTTTGCTAATTGAGATAATCTTATTCCGTTATGCGGTTAGGCCCATAGCAGGCAATTTAACATATTCAGAAATATATCCTTATCTGGTTGTTACACTTTCTCTGCGAGTACTGCTGCGTGCTTTTTACGTCGGCATTCTTACCCTTGATTTACTTTCCTTCAATAAGGGCATCCTCTGCACCCTAGCCCTCAAACAAAAGAAGCGCAAGTTTATCAGCAGTGTAGATATCATGCTTAACACCGAATCCACTCCACCTTACATACAAGTAACAGCACAATAGATAATATAACCCACAAATACTGTTCGCTTTTTAATATAATATCTAACTCAATAGCACTTACCCAATTCAATCCAATACTAACTCAACTCAACCCAACTCAACTCAACCCAACTCAACTCAACCCAACTTAACTTAACGCAATAGAAGTCCAGGAATAAATCCTCCTTCAAGTCTTAGTTGTTTTTAAGATGACTAGTATTAGTGTGTGCTTGTGCTTCTTTACACAACTAGCCCTGGGTTGATATTTTGCTAGGCTGGGTAGATAACGAAATACTGTTTTGAAAATAAGATATATGTAGTGTAAGAAATGTTATAAAGATAAGTTCAGTCTAGGCTAGGTTTTTGGTGTGTGGTTTATTTGTGGTTAACTGGGTTGAAAGGGACACTACATTCCCAATTGGGTTTGTATTCCACACGGGTGAGAGGTGCTGCGCCCGTCCTTCTGTCACAGAGATCTGGTGAATAGATGGTTTGAACAATAGATATTTATGGCTGGCGCGATTTGAAATTCGAAGATAGCCCATTTAGGTGACTAGGGAAACAGTTGCTGAGGGTTTAGGGGCCTTGAAGTTACTGGAGTTAATAAAAACTACTTCCTTGTGTTTAGATGGCTTTAGATTGGTTTGGGTTGTTAATGGTATTGCCGGAAACCATTATTTCTTGTTGAGTACTTACTGTGTTTTGGGCGCCTTGTTTGTGGTACTAAGATGCCCGTCGAAAATAGGATCGCGTCTGTTTCCTTTTGGGACTCAGACTACAGTGCACTTGCTGTCGTTTCTTGTCAGTAGTGACGTGTTGTTCTTGATTTCGGGGTTCTCCACACCACATACATAGTATTGCTCGTCATATGTTATTCTCGGGAAGCTGGCCAGTAACATACTCTTTTCGCCTGAGGTTAGGACGGAACTGTTTTGGTCATTGGCTTGGATGATATTTATATGATTGAATTTAAGATAGTGACTAGTCTGTTCTGTGCTAGTAGAATCAACCGATGTGTTATAATGTGGCCGTTTTGGATGCTGTTCAACCAGGCGTTTCTGCATGGCCTCGGCATGTTTATAGGTAAAGCCAAGAGGGACGTTCGTTATTCTGAGCACATTGGTGTGCTCTGTCCTGGCAAGGCCGAAGGTGACATAAGAGAGTAGAAGGTCAAAGGACAAAGATAGTTTGTTATGCTCCCATGGAGTCTTGCCCAAGCCGTTTGGTTGGAAATATCCTCTAAGATTAAGGATAATATTGGTGGGGCTATCTAGAGCTTGGTGATAGTCTTTGCTTGTGCCGATGTATAGATAAGTGCATACTGGCGTTCTTCTGTCTACATGGTAACTGCGCGGGACTTGGAAGGCGATGATAGTATTAGGCTCCTCGACTTGTATCTCAGTCCTGTAGGTATCTTCCCAGTTAATTTGGTCGAAGAAGTCTAACTCTGTAATGTAGGGTTTATCTAAGGCTAAGGAGTATATTCTGAATTGGGTTAGCACTGGCCAGAAGAGTCTCAGAAAAGGGCGGGTGAGATTTAAGATCTTTAAGTCTAGCGCATATCGTGATTTATCGACTTTCTTAAGTTTCTGGAGGAACTGCATTTGTAGATCCTCTTCTTCGGGTGATAGAGTGCTCGCCTCTCTTGTTGAAGTACTTGAAGATAGGCAGATGGGAATAAATGGGACGAGACAAGATGCTGGTTGGGTAATTGTCGCTAGGAGTTGGGCCAATATCTGGAGAGCGAATGGGGTCTTACAAAGCCTTAAGCAAATCAGCACATCAAGTTCAATTTTGCTGAACTTGGTTAAGGTTGTCAGTAGATTTGTCAGATCTTGGTCGGTCCAGCGACTATTTACGTGGATGTCATAAAGACAGAATGATTGGCGAGCGGTTAGTTCAAACTTTCCCACAGCAGATTGGCTTGAGCACACCAGGAAGCACTTCTGGAGTTCGGCGACTTTCTCGGCGTTGGTTAAAGTGTTGTCTTTGTGCAAGAGAAGGTCATAGAGATACACTTGCTCATCCACTGGCATCGGCCATTCTGACATAGGACTAATATTTGTTCTCTCCAGACCATCGTCTACACATTTGCCTGTGCTGTTTCTTATTTCTTGTGCTGACCTCACCGGTATCTTTTGAGGGTGCTTTGTCGATGCGGGTGTGTCATTTACTTCTTGCATTTCACTTGCAATAGTATTTGAAGAGCTGTCTGTGGGTCCTTTGGGGATTACATGCGGTTCTCTCTTACCAGTATAATATACGATCGGGCAGGTTGATACCTTTTCCCTGCCACTGCATTCGTATTCAACTGGAACATCATCGATACCACCAGTATCTGTGTCACTTAAATCTAGCCGCATTATCTCTCGCACCTTTTCGACCGCATCCTTTGGTGTCATTGGGTTAATTATTGGCTCTATGGACTTTAATCCTAATCTACACTGGCACAGGTCTTGTGCTATTTTACCAGCCGCCATTTCACACCTGCCTCCATTTAGAGAGCACCAAGCAAAACCCAAACCAACTAGCAAGCAAAATAACTGTTGAACACTCAAAGCGTACTCATTCGATAGCATATTCATTTAATTTTCGCTATCTTTTTAATTTATACACCATCAAGATCAAAACAATAACAAATCATTACTTTTCTATTAAAACTATCATTCCAAACGCCACAATCAGTGAAGTTATCTGCCAACCTAATGCCAACCTAATACTAATTCAAATATCATTTAAACACTAACCCAATGCTAATACCACTTTAATATTCCATATATACCAACCCAATACTAACCCAACGCATAAGAAGAACACGTTCCTCACAGCTAGTAAGGCTTAAATAAAGACAATTATGAAGACAGCCTTGGTAAACTTTATTAATAGTTGCTATGTAATGTAGCTAAACACCACGCTCTTGTTTAAGTGAACACCAATGCTGCCATTTATATGGGGTTGTGTTATATATCGCGATCTCTATCGTTTTTACTGGAATTGAGTTGGTCTTGGATTTGTTGTTGTTAGTATTAGGTTTCTATTTCCTTGCTTACTTATCGCCATGCTTCATTACAAGCATATGCCCTTCTATCTGTTATGTCTGTTATAGTTTACATTTATCACTATCAGTGGTTGTGTCGCTAGTTTTCAACACGTGAGAAGTTGCAACTACTTGATCTCGGTTTGCTGAGGTTAACTTGACAGCCATCTCCTTTTATTACTTCCACGGCTACTCAAAAGAACGTAAAGAATCGGGTTCTCCATCGCCTAGGCGTGAGGTATTCGGTTGTGTTAGGTTGGTATTGGGTTAGGTTGGGTTAGCGTGTAATTAGTTGCCCGTGCCATCGATGGTCTTGCGCTTCTTTTCTCTTCGAGCCTGATAGTAGAGAATGCCCTTGTTGAAGGAACGCATGTCGATAATAAGCAGTCCGGCGTACACCAAATGCACTGCCAATCGCAATAGGAGGGTTATAAGCAGGTAAGGATCATTTGCCGCGTCAGATGCCTCTGTAGGCACCGGCCTAAGAAGATCATTAAAGAAGATTATCTGGGTTATTAGATAGACGCCCATGCCTAGAGTAAGTGTAATATTAGCGATTCTTATTGGGATAAGTTCATAGCAATCAATTTGATAGATTGTTATCAATGCCACATAGAGAATAGTTTCTATGATTAGAGAAGTTCCAATATCCATAATCAAAAAGGACACAATCCAGATAGAAATAAACAACTGGAATCCGGTTTTAAAAGATAAGTCTAAGAGTTTGCGAATTGAAAACATGTTGTTCCGTTTAATGTTTGCTCCAAAAGTCTTGTAATGGAACCATCTAAACTCCTTTCGCTGTTTGGCAACTATGTAAAGCATAATGAGTGTATCCACTACAATTCCGGTAATATTAACGGACATAATAATATAAGTAACACCCGCCCCTGTATCTAGCGTTAGGGTTATCCAGAGGCGAATGCCCATAATAACAAACTGGGTTAACGTGCAGACAATGACCTGCATAAGGTTTCTTTGTAAGAGTCCTTCGGTCATCAGAATTCCGTAGATTAGCTTTGCAACAAACCCATTGCTCAGAAAAGCGGCCAAATACAGATAGCGGATGCCCGTGTCGGTCGGATTGCTAAGAGGGATCCGCTTCTGAAGTGTGTACAGAAGCATTTGAGCGATCATGTACATCATTATGTCTAGATAAACTATTGCTATAGTTACTGAAATCTCTTTGGTAACCGTAATGTCGTTGTAGTTGCTGACCAAGCCATAGCTCTCCATTCCTAAAGAAAGCCTGGTCTATATATATACCCTACTTTAGTCGGATTAAGATTGTTCTAGACCCCAAGTACACTCTGCTAGGTTTTATTATCCACAAGACAATCCCTTCTTACCCATCCACCCAACACCGCACCATCAACCTAATACTACCCTCAAATCAATAAATTGAACCCAAACTAACCCAATACTAGCACAAACCTTGACAATACTAACCCAATACATTTCTATCTATTCAAAAGACTGATATAAATGATCACCAAGTTAAACTAGTCTAAGAAAACTAAAAACAAAGTAGAGCTTTCAAAATTCAACTTTGAACGGGTTATTATTGGATTTAGATTTAATGTAATCCCAAATTGCATTAAGTTGAGTTCAATTTATTGATGTCATTCAAATCAACCCGATCTAACTTAACATAACTCAATACTAAACTAACTCAATACTAAACTAACACAAACCAAGGTATATCTAACTCAACTTAACATAACTTAACATAACTTAACTCAACACCAAACTAACACAAACCCAACTCAATATCAAACTAACTTAACTCAACTTAACTCAACCTAACTCAATATATATATCTAACTCAATTTATTGTGACACGCAGCACCTTAGCGCACCATATTTGCTTGTATGTACCAAATCGGGCTAGTTCTATCTTTTAGCACTTCTCTATATCTGGCAATACAAATACTTTATACTGTCTATTGGCGCTGGCTGATGGTTTGAAAGAGGGGAGTAGATAAGCCACCCCAGAGTTTCATCTCTTTCATTTCCTCAGGAGTCTTGCAGTGCTTGAGGTACCCATTCCAGATAAGATTTTTGAGTCCAGCCCGCTCCGATATCTTGCGCTTCACTCGGGAGGCAAACTCAGCTGAGGTTTCTTTAGACTCAACCGACATAGGAGCCATCCACCAAACTGAAGCCTCAGTCTTCCAACGCGTAGCCATATAAACAAAATGCTTAGTAAAGGACTGCTTACGAGTATTCCAGTACGGATCAGCTAAGTCTTTGTTATACTTAATAGCCACCGGACAAACTGGAATGTGCAAATCAAAAGCTCCTTTCTGGAACATCACAGTATACTCGTTATTAACACAAGTACCTTCCGGGAAGATCAAAAGAGAGGCCGACTTAGTTATTTGCCCAATATTCTCTTTAATCTGCTGCCGATTAGACTTATCTTTACGCTCAAACTCAATAGCACCACTAACTAGTTTCAAAAGCATAGACATAACCCCCGGCTGCTTCTGAGCAATCACTGAATGGGGAAATTTATGACTGCTCAGTACTAAATAGTCTAAATACGTTGTATGGTTGGCCACAAAGACATGCGGAATTTTCAGTTTAGGTTTGTGGCCATAATGAGTTACACGCAGACCCATACACCAGAGAAGCAGTTGGCAACCTTTACTTAGTGACCAATTAGAGACAGTTTGTAGTCCAATTACTTTAGTAAGTATAATTAAGAAACCAACCGCTACAATTGAAACTAAGGTAAAAACAACTCGAAAGGGAAACAAGACCATATAACGAAAGAAGACACCCAAAAGATAAGAACAAGTGATAGGAGGCTTAGTTTCATCGATAGTCTGATGGAAACAAAGAGAAAACTCATCTTGGACCAGGGCTTTTCCAGCAAGGGCCGTACAGTAGAGAATGTCTTGGAGTAAAGGAAGTGTTTTAGGAGAAGTCAAAGTATCTTCTAAACGGGTGTGTGCTTTCTTTGGCATAAACTAAAAAATTGGTCTAATTGGGTTATTAGTATGATATGGTTAGTTAAGTATTGAGTTGAGTTGGGTTTGGTATTGTGTTGGGTTGGGTTGAGTTGAGTTGAGTTGGGTTTAGTTTAGTACTAAGTTTAGTACTAAGTTGAGTTTAGTTTAGTACTAAGTTTGGTACTAAGTTGAGTATTTGGCTGGCATAGTAGCAAGAGGTGATTAGAATAAAGACAATCTAATATAAGAATGATATGTATGTAGTGTCTGTACCATCCACAGATCTTAATGAGACTCTCAAATCGTCTCTACTTTTAAACGAGTAGGTACAGATAATGTAGATATCTATTCCGTACTACTCTAAACAATCCAATTAGAGTGTAAATATACGATGAAGATGGAAAAGGACTCTCTATGACATACATTAAGGGCGTACAGAATACTATATTAGATCTATAAACTGCTCAGACTCCCATACTAACTCAATGCCAACTCAATACCAACTCAATTTGTCTCTCGTGGAGTACGTTTGGTTGTAAACGGCGTGTAGCCACCTAGAGCACGACATGTATATTAGTGAATTAAGTTAAGTTAAGTCAAGTTAAGTCAGTTTATAGTTAGTAATCTTGCCACTTAACATTACCCTAAGACAATACTAAACTAAACTAAGCTCAACTTAGTACTAAACCAAACTCAACTTAGTACTAAACTCAACATAATACTAAGACAATACCAATCTAAACCCAACTCAACCCAACCCAACCTCAACTCAATACTAAACCAAACCCAACTTAATGCAACTTAATGCAATTAGCAACGACTCCTTTTTAATTTATGCACACTGCTGCCGTGAATGCTGGTATTTGCCTCGAGATTATTGGTGATGTCATTGGAATATTTATTGCCCTCTGGCTAGCCTATCTCATTCGCGAGTACATTCTTGATAAACAACAACCCCACCATAAACCCCAAGATATCTGCCAAAGACTACCATCTACCTACCAAATAAATAGCCCAAAAAGGAAAAAAGACAGGACAGCTACACCCAAAGATATATTAGATCCACCCCAATACTACAAAACACACACCAACCAAGAATAATCAATCTCCAACCCCTCAAACAACCACTAAATACTACCCAAACCCTATCTAAACCATCTAATACACCCCCAAAGCATATCTATGCGTTTTATTTTTCTTTTAACATGCACCACGGATATAAGAGTACTAATCGCGATGCCAAGTCAGCCCGTGAAACCAGAACTACTTCAACAGTCGAATTAAGAAATCAAAAACGAAATGAAATGTTACAGAAGAAAAGAACAATGGCGATCAGTCGTGGTCCAAGTCTCTATAGTATTAGTGAACTAGCCGAGAAAGTCACTTCTGATGATGCCGATAAGATCGTTGATGCCGTCACTGAATTCCGTCGTTTATTAAGTGCTACTAAAGTCCCTCCTATTGATAGTATTGTTGAAAATGGCTTAACTCCAGTCTTCTCTAAGCTAATTGATGCCAACAACCCCTTCTTTGCCACAATTCCCAAGGAGAAGGTCAAACGTATTATGCACGAGTCAGCTTGGGTTGTTACTAATATAGCTTCAGGTAATTCTTATCAAACAGAAGCACTGATTAAGTGTGGTTGTGTAACTAACTTAATTAAGCTTATGCATATTGATGACTTAGAACTACAGGATCAAGCCGTTTGGGCTCTAGGTAATATATCTGGAGATGGCGAGGAGGCTAGAGACTTAGTTATTAGGGGAGGAGTAACCGAACCTTTACTAGGTCTTATTGGAATGGCTATGAACAACCGTGAGACATTCTTAGGCTTTTTAAAGAACCTCATTTGGGCACTTAGTAATACTAATCGGGGACGTAATCCACCGGCACCTTTTGAGCATATGCAAATGTCTTTACCTGCGGTAGTAACTCTTATTAGAACTGAAAGTAATCCTGATATTTTAGCCGATGCATTTTGGGCGCTTAGTTATATTTGTGATGCTGGAGTTCCTCAGGCCAATCTAGTCTTAGAAACGGGTATTATTGTGGATACAGTGCGTATATTGGCTTCTTATCAGGAATTAGTGTCTAAAGAAGAGACAGAGTTTATTACGCGGCGTGAGAAGACTATTTCTCCTATTATGCGTACGCTTGGTAATATTATTACGTATGAAGACCATCATACCGATTACATTTTAAGTTTAGGAGTGATTGATATTCTGAAGCATATCTATAGTGTGCCATTTGATAGCAAGAAGAGTTTACGGATTAAGAAAGAGATTTGCTGGGTTATTTCTAATATTACGGCTGGTACACCGGCTCAGATTGATGAAGTAATCAAGGCTGGGTTTTTGGAGATCTTGGTTAATGCCGTGAATAATGCCGATCAAGCGACTAAAGTTGAAGCTTGTTGGGCTATTTGCAATGCAACTATTCATGCTAATGAACATATTCACCAGGCCCGGGAAGTACTTAGAGCAGGGACTATTCCGGCCTTTGCTAAAGTCCTGCCGATGATTCGTAATGATACTAAAGTAACTGCTGTGATTCTGGACTGCATAACTAACTTACTTGAATGTGGCCGTACTGAGTCAATGGGGGCTGAGAACCAGGTGGCCACTGATATTGAAAACACAACTCTTCTGGACCAGGTAGAAGAGTTACAAACGGCCGAGAACGTCAAAATTGCCTCTAAAGCCGAAAACATTATCAGAGTGTACTTTGATTGTCACTAAACTCACTTCTTCATCAATGCAATAAACGTTCTGTTATTAATTAGTTGCCAACCAATTATCTACTAGGTTAGTATTGAGTTAGTATTGGGTTAGTACGATCTTGGTGCTGGTCATATCTCACCTTCACTCAACTTGACTCAATTATATCATAACATGGCATATCTTAGCTCAACTTAACATAACTTGACTCAATTATATCATATCTCAATTCAACTATATCATATCTCAATTCAATTATATCATATATCAACTTAGCTCAACTCAACTTAACACAACACAACACAACACAACCATAACATAACATAACATATCATATCTCAACTTAACTTAACTCAACTCCATACATAATGCAATCTCAAATTCTTTTGCCACTATGAAGAAGAAAGCGGCTGGTATTCATGCTAGAGCCAAAGATATCATCAAAAGAGTCATTGCGCAAGCACACAGACCGGATGCACCAGAGGCTAGCACAGAATATCTTTGGATTTGTGATGAAGTTAAGAAAGAGTCTTCTTTTCCCAAACGATTAGAATTATTGGTGGCTTTAGTGCACTATCTGTGCGATTGGTATAAGAAACAAGAAGAGGCTAATAAGACCCAATCAATGGGTAAGTTCTTTATTCATATGATTTACTTCTTCTATTGCATCCAGTTCGAGCAGAAGTACATGGAAGAGAAAGTAGTTGAGCCGTTAATTAAAATAGAGTTGCCAGTTAGTGTTTTAGGGTCACTTATTGATAGTGCATTAGGACATGCGGATGTTCAAGAGATTTTACTGTACTTTATCAATGAAAAGGTCTTGGTAGTTGCCTTAGCCTGGAAAGACTATCAGTATATCTCTAACCGGGCCTTGCAGAGTTTAGAGGAAAGAATAGATCAGGCTTTCTCTCCCCCGAACACTGAAGTTCCGGCTCTGGAGAAGTACGTCAAAGAAAAAGAGGCCTACTTAATTGTACAGTCCCTTATGAATTAGTCTAATATTCTGTTAGTATTATGTTAGTATTGAGTTGGTATTATATTAGTATTATGTTAGTATTATGATAGGGTTTTGCTGATATTAGGTGAGTATTGAATTGATATATTGAGTTGGCATTGAGTTGATATTGTGTTGGTAGTGAGATATACGATCTTAACACAACACAACTCAATACTAACTAAACCAAACCCAACTCGACGCTTGATAATGTGTCCAATCAAAATAAATATCTCCACCAATAAAGTCGCATCTTTTTATCAGGTTAACTCCACCAACCAGCTGTTTTAGCGAATCTTGGTCCTTTTAGCTTCTGGGTTTATCTTTGGCATGCAAAGCCCTATAAAAGAGATAGACATAATAAACGCAATCTTGGGAGACGAAGGCATTCTTCGTTACAATGCAACCAAGAACCGGTTCCAAACCGAAGCCCACCCGGGTTTGCCTCCCACCAACCTTCTTCGCATATACAAGTCAACACCTAGTTTGGTGGAGGAAAACACGATAACTTCCTATCGCACTAATCTTCTGCGACTGCGCCGGAAGATCGAAGAGCGCAAGATAAAAACAGTTGAAATTATCCACGAAGACCCGCTCAGGCACACCAGCCAGGTCACCCTAACCCAAACAGTGCAAACCGAGGAGCAAATTGTGCCTACTCCGATTGGTACCGATTTGCAGCCCCAGCCAACCCTCGCCAGTGTAAGCCTAATTCCGCACGAAATCACTGAAGTGGCGTCGCTTGAGCTGTTCAGAACAGCCACAGTCACTGGGAATGCCAAAGCCTTCTACAACAAGAAAATGCGACCGACCACCATCACCATCCAGGGCACAACTCTTGACACCCGTATCTACAATACAAAGGGAGAAGAACTAATTTCAACGACCACCGATCTGACCCTTTCTCGACTATACGTAGTAGTAAACGGTCCCCGCCGAATGCTGCCGTGTCTCGCTCCAACGAAGAAGAAAGTGCAGCTAGAAAAGGAGATTGAGCTAGTTAATGTCACTCGCGGAACGCACAGTTATGAAATTATCATGAAAAACACCAACACCGGCGAGTTTATCAAAGAAAGCATGCAGACCTTGGAATTTTCCATTCTGGACTCATACAGCCAGCATCTTCTCTATCAGGTAGAGTGCACTAGCGAGTTCATTAAGTGGCTCCTTATTATGAAGATTCGAATGCATACCGTTGATCTCTGGGAGAAGAATGACTTACTTGAGAATATTCGCAAGTAAACCAATCGCGGTCGAAGGTAATATGCAGCTGATAGCACGCAGCAAGCCAATAAAGTATTTAAATTAGCAGACTGTTCGACTTTGCCCGGGTTTGGCCTACATTATCTTAATCAGGCTAGGCTCGTGATATCTTGATATAATTATCGATTTATTCAAAGGATCAGCAAGTGGCCAGTATTGGGCTAGTATCGGAAAACTAGCTGGGTGTGCTGGTGAATGGTTGATTTGTTGATTGTGCTCGTTATTATCCATTAATCTATATTTTGGAGTTAGTTTTATGTTAGTGTATATGCCGGCATGTGTGGGTGTTGTTTCTAAATGAGAGAATAAGTGTTTGCTTGGGCGAGTTGGCCGGGCAATAACCGTAGGCTTCTACTGTGTGTTTCGGCGGCCAGTAGGGGTCTCCAATGCCGGTTTAGTGAGCTCTGGGCTTGTGTTGAGCTCTGATTCGGGCTGGGTAACTCGCTTGTAGATAAGACTATTGATGCGATTCCCATCGGGATTGTGGGTGCGCACGTGGTATGGCTTTATTAGCGGATGTTTAGTTATATCAGGGCCACACTCTAGAATGCTATTGTCGTTGATTTGATACCACATGCCATGCTTCTTAGTATATGCCACAAAATGACCAATATCCCCGTACTCCTGGTACTCGACAAAGGAAGTTAGTTCATACGTGGCATCTGTTCGCACGGCGTCCGGGGTCGTGCTTAGGACTATATCCTTCTCAGCAATAGAGAGAGGAACATTGATGTAGTTTTGGTATACACTACCATACCCATCAAAGTATACAGGATCAATGCGCAAATATTCGGGCAGTTTAATAATGCAGGTTCCCAGTTTCTGTTTCTCGACTATACAATCTGTAATAGAACTTGGCTTACCACCTTTTTGAGTCGCAGCTGCCGGTTGGACAAGGTCCGGTGGATAGCCCGTGAAAAATTGGGCATCATATGGAACTGCAGTTGGTATATAAAGAGTGCTGCCATCATCGGTAGGTATAGGCTGCATCTCTTGCAAAGTCATTGTGAAAAGACGATTTAGCTGCGCTGTAGCTTCTGCGGCCTTTTGGTTGAGATCGATTTTTGAATGGCCGGGTAGGGGGATAGATAGCAGATTCAGGCAATCGATCATTGGATTTATCAACTTTTCCTGTGCTTCTTTGGCATCGCCTATGTCTTTTATATCAGCCACATTGATAGCCTGGGCAAGTGGAAGTAAGTATTTCGAGCGTAGAATCTTGAGATCGATATAGGGTTCCTTTTTGATGTAATTGAACAGCTCTATAAAAGCCTTAAATCGGGCTAACTCTTCCGCCAACGCAGCCTGTTTTCGCTCTTTTACCTCTTCTATCGGCTGGTCCAGGATAGCTTCCGCACGAATATCCTGATGGGCTTGGAGCAGCGTTCTAGTTTGTGGATCGTTAAAGATCGGCTTTATGTAATTATCCATCACCTCTTCAAGCTCTGGTATACTAAACAGTATCTGCAGGCCGGCGTTCATATAACAAATGTTGTAGCCGTTGGGCAAACCAACTAGTCTATCTTTGAGGCTTGGGAGTGGAGCTAGATTAGGTGCTGAGCTGCTGATTGTAGCGGGGGATTGTGAGGGGGGTGGTAGAGAAAATGTCATTACATTCGGAGATAGAGGATTTGGCGGTGAATGTTGTGACGTGTAAACGGGTTGTTGCTGGCTAATTGGTGACAACGGAATTGGGCTATAATGGAGTCTATTATTTGTATAATGAGTCGGTTTCACCATTTCCCGATCTGATAGTATCTTTAAGAGCAAATAACCGCCAGCTAATAGCAAAATCAATCCAGCAAGTCCTATCAGTATAGGAACTGCTTGAGGATGTAACCCATTAGTTTGCTTCATTGCAACCTCGCTAGTATCGCCAAACCCAACCACACTTCTAATTCTGCGATATACGCTAGGATTACTTAATTCGAGATCCATTGAAAAATCTATCACAAAACGAACAATATATGATCATTTCCTTATTAGGAAATTAATTGCTCCGAATACAATGAATTTTTTTCTCCTTTTGGCATTATCATCTCTAATTTTCCTTATTAGGAAATTAAATAAACCAATTGACGCCGAAATTTTTAATCTAAAATAGTTTCTAATCTACCAATAAACTGGCACAAAGAATAATATATGTATCTTTCAAAATACAAAATCATTGATAAAGTATATCTAGGTGAGTATATTATGACTTATAGATTTTGAGTTTGATCCTGGGTATGGCACGAGGACGTTTAAACAAACAAGGCATTAGCAATCTTATTAACTACTTGAATGGGGAGTGCACTCCTTCACTCCAAAACCTATCGGCCTCCCAATGGTGCCGGTTTAAGACTCGCGCTGAGAGCTTTCGCCTGGACAAGGACACGCTCTATTACTACAATGCACGGACTGGCCGCTTGCTCCAGCCCATTGCTTACGACGATGAGGAGCAGCTGAAGAGAATCTTCCATGAGTTACACGATCTTCATAACCATCCCGACGCCACTACTCTCTATACGATCTTGCGAGAGAAGTATATTGGGGTTTCACGCAAGAAGCTCCAAGAACTAGTGATGACCTGTTCGATTTGCAGGGCTCGGATATCACCAAAGCAAACTACTGTTTCGCGGCCGATTGTCTGCCATATGCCCTGGTGGCATGTGCAGGTCGAGTACATTGACATGCGGCTGCATAGGTCTGCTAATCGAGGGTATAGGTGGATATTAGTTGTTCTGGATATCTACTCTGGGCATCTAATCGCGTGGCCTTTAAGGCTAAGATCAATGGCCTGTGTGTATGATGCACTCCTTCATATATTTAATAGACGCGGCACGCCGCACATCTTGCAGACAGCCAATAGTAACGAGTTTCTTGATCCGATGTTCAAGAGTTATATGGATGCACTTGGAATTAGACACATGTACCTACGCTGCGAGCGCCTACAAAACCTGGAACAAGTGCGAGAAGCGGCTCGAATAATATTGCAAGCGCTGTGCCAAGAGCAGAGTTCCACCCCCGATGAAAATTCAGGCAATACGTTAATAAGTTGGTTAGATCGGCTTGATAGTGTTGTAGTTGCTTTGAATCAACAAAAGGGGTATGCGCCAACTGCCTCCCATGAAGCAACAGAAGAGCTGGGTCTTGGTTGGAGTAGCGCACAAAACAAAGAGAATGCTACCGCCCGGCACAAAGCCAGATATTCCGACTCCGAAGAAGATGAGGTATTTGAAATAGAGTCTGCCTCCGATAGCATATGTGCTAGCATGCCGGAATCATGTGAGCAAGTACCCAAACCCGACTTAGTATATCAATGGGGATATCTAAATCTGCTGGATCAGGACTGTAATGTCAGTGAAAACGCACCACACCCCACGGCCGGAGATAAGGTGGCAAATACCAAAAATCATAACAATAAGACGGGTCCAAACAAACATTGAGTATTTGGTCTTATACTCCCAGGGTTGAGCGATCTTCTCTAGTCATAGAATCTCGGCATTTAAACCCTCACAAGAGAACAAAGCTGTGCCCAGAACCCAAACTCGATTGAATCCTTACCGGAGCAACCAATAGGTGTTCGCCAATCGCTATACCTATAATGTAAATTTGAAAGCGAGATACACTTTCGTCCAGCGGTCCATACTTTCGAACAACGAGACACACGAAGATCTACTTCGTTTTAAGTCTCAAAACAAACTGCTGAATAAATGCAACCATTCATTTCTAGTGAATTAGCATTGAGTTGGTATTATCTTGATATTGCGTTGATCGCATTAATCACCAACCCAATATTAATAGATTGAGCCCACAACACATCACATCATATTACATAATAACACAACACAACACATTACATTACATCACACTACAACACACCACACCACATTATATCACATCATTACACACACAATCTGTAGGTAACAATTTGGCTTCAAGTTGTGATGGCCTGCTAAAGACAAGGTTTTGTTCGAAGGAGATGGACTTTATTGAACTTCAACTGATTTGGGTTAGTATTGGAGTTCTCTGGTAGTCTGAGCAGCTTTAAAGTTCTTCTATGATTTCTCAGTAATGCTTCTTTGCGCTAGAAAGATATCTAAGAGAAACATTTAGAGTACTGCCCTCTGTTGCTGCTTTGTGGGGTTAGCTAATTGGTGGGAAGTGGGTTGGTAGGCTCAACTCGCCTGTAGACAAGAGTGCTGATGCGATTGTCGCGGTCATTAGGGTTACTCCTAGTTTGTGGTTCTATTAACGGATGGGTGGTTATGGGCATCTTTAACATCGTAACTTGTTTGTCATTGAGCTCATACCACACATCATCCATCTTAACGTAGGCAATGAAGTGGCCAACGTCAATGTATCTCGTGTGCTCAACAAAAGAGACTAATTCATACATAGTCGTTGATTCTGGTGCGGCCTTGTCAGTTGCGACTACTATATCCTTTTCAAACATCACTAGAGGGATATTGAGGATGCGCTCATAGAGCCCAGCATGGTAGTTGCTGTATTCAGGTTCAATATGAAGGTATTTGGGAAGTTTGGTAACATAAGAGCCAAGTTCTCGACTTCGAACAATCCAATCAGTAATACATTCGGGTTTGGGCACTTCTTTCTTTGTTTTCTTCCATCTCCTGCTTTCGTTCTTAGTACTGATTGGCACTGGGTCGGTATTAACATTGCCAACTAATAAAGTCTGAACACCGTAGCTTTGCGTTCTATTAATTGACTTTACATTCCCATGTATATCTACTTCCTGGCGTGCAAACTCCTGCATTGTTATTGTGAAAAGACTATCTAACCGGCTTTTAGCTTCCGCAGCTCTCTGGCTAAGCAAGGTGTTAGGTTCATGATCCGGGGGGTGTGATAGTGTTGCTAGATGCTCAAGCATTGGAGTTATAAGTTTTGCTTGTGCCTCCTTAGCATCGCCTTGTTCTCCTAGGCGAACCAATCCCATATACTTAGCAAGCGGAAGCAAGTACATCGTAAGCAAAACCTGGTTATTTATCTTAGTTTCTGTTTTGATATAAACAAACAGATTGATAAATGTAACAATTCGGGCCAGCTCATCCTCTAACTCTTCTGTCCTTCTTGCGATAGTTATCGTTCTCCTCGGTTCGGCCATTGGTTTCAGTGTAGTAATCATATGATAGATAAGTATATTAGCAGTTTCTGGAGCATCAAAGATTGGTTTTAGATGGGTGTTGACCAGTTCCTCAAAATCGGGATTATTCAACAATAATTGCAAACCGACATTCAAGTAACAAGTATTATTCCCATTGGGCAGACCGACCATTTTATGTTTGAGTTCCTGTAACGGTATGCCCTCATCTATCTCCGAGACACTCGATAAACCAAGCAGTCCTCTGAGCTTACGGGTCAACCTTGCTTTACGACTTGCTGGGCCAAATTGTGCCGTAGGAAACTCGTCAAAGATAGGTTCCGCCGGCAGTGGTGGTGAATATCGACTCTTTTGAGCAGCATTCCAGCCCAAACCTGCTTTCACCCCTGGATCTGACGAGTCCTGAAGTGCACAATCAGCAGAGGCCATTTTCGCCCTTTTACTATTACTTAATACAAACGGCAAGATAAACCAAGCACCAAATATAACTACACCCATCCCAACAAACACAAGTAGGAAATAACTAATCCACGAAGATAACTCCATCTTCTCCTTCGACACTACCTCAACCCTATCTTTCCCGTCCATTCCTATCGCCTTTCGCAATTTCCGGTACAACCCAAAACTTCCTAATCTCAACTCCATTGCAAATTCTACACGAATACGAAGCCTTATACAACCATTTTCTGATTAGAAAAGTGCCGAACCAAGATAGACTGTATTTTTAATTCTAAACACTATCTGACATCATCAAACCCAAGAATTACTTCTTAATATTTACTTAACTTTATGATTATCCATCCGATCTACCCAAACCAAAACATGCCAACCATAATACACATCCTAAAACAACCTAGAACCAAAACCAATTAGTCTAAATACTATCTAAATACACTTAAACCTAGCCCAATTTAACACCCACAATAAACTTTTCTTTAACAATGGGCTTATTGAAAGAGAATCGAACACTTTCATGGAAAGAGACCCAATTGCATGGACCTGTTTTGAAGAAAAGAGGTCTGGAATACTTTCTTGAGGTTTATACGAAGTCTTTGCCCTCACGGACAAAAGGTTTCCTTTGGGGTGATGAGATAGAACAGAATTTAGTGTTTAGAAGTCCCACCGGGTGGTATCTATTGATTGCAGCAGACCAAGTAATTGAAGGCTTAAAACAAGAAAATGCCTATGTACTGAACGTTGAGTACAGTGGGTATATGCTAGAGAGTACACCTCGGATGCCTTATGGCCCCCAGTTCAAAGTACTTGGCCGAGTTGAAGCGGATATGGAAACCAGACGGCTAGCAATTGAGTCCTACTTGACTAGCCAGATCAGCAAGGATGCTGGTGTACTGAGCCTGCCTTGCTTCCCCTTACTAGGTACTCCTTTTGCTTTTGGGATAGGCCGACGACCGGATGGCATTGCTTATACACCTGCGGAATGGGAAGAGTTATGGCGGCAGAACTACCAGGCGGAAATAACCAATCCCCAGGGAGTACAAGGAATCCAGAAGGATCTAAGACCAGGAACGCCTTTGGAGAAGGCTTTAAGAAAGATAGATCGGCCAACCTTTGCTGTAACACGTAGTGAACACTTCCCAGACTTTGGTATTACGCAACATCTTCGTTTCTACAACTTCACCTACAACATTCGAGAAAGACGAGGTCGGCCGCTTCGTCTGGCTATTCCACCGGCACAGCTAGAAGCCGCTGATGGTTCTTTCGTGCCTGGAGCTCAGCCGGTGATAATTGATAGTATGGGACAGGGTATGGGCTGCTGCTGCTTACAGATAACTATGCAAAGTGAGTCCATGGCTGAAGCCCGGTTGCTTTATGATAATATTGGTGCTCTATGCCCACTACTTCTCTTTTTGACCATGGCAACGCCAGTGGTAGCCGGTACTCTTACTGAGAGTGCTACTCGTTGGGAGATAGTCAGTGCTTCAGTGGACTGTCGAACACTGCAGGAGACTCATATCAAAAAGAGCCGGTACTCCTCCATTGATCTTTATACTTCGGAAATGACACCTGAGCTCTATGCCTACTACAATGACATCAATCCACCTCTTGATCCGAGTGCTCTAGCGCAACTTCAAGTCGGAGGTGTTGATTTAGCCATGACTAATCATATTGCTTCAATTTACATCCGCGATCCCGTGCTTTGCTATGAAGAGACCAGTCCACAGGAAGACTTTGAGAATATTCAGAGTAGTAACTGGCGTAGCATGCGGCTTAAACCACCTAAGGCCAGTAACCCAACCGGCTCTTGGCTAGTTGAAGTTCGTCCTATGGAAATCCAGCCAACTAGTTTTGAGAATGCAGCGTACTCTGTCTTTGTTATTCTCTTTTCACGTATGATTCTTTCGTTGAACTACACCTTCTACTTGCCAATTTCACGAGTTGATGAAAACTTCCAAGCGGCCAATTCACCACGCACTCATTTGGACTCAACGGCGGCTTATCTTGATCTGGAAGCGCAGCAGGAGTTTTGGTATCGTGCTAACATTTGCAGCATGGATAAGGCGGAAATCCGTCGGGGCACTATCAAAGACATTTTCCTTGGTAATGGAGAGTATCTAGGCATATTGGAAGCCATTGAAAAGTACTTAGCCGAATACAGTGAGCAAGATAGGCAACAAGTTGCCCCTTATCTCAAGTTTATTCGTGAAAGAGTCTCTGGTCAGAAACTTAGTGTTGCTACCTACATTCGCCGCTACCTTACCAGCCATCCCCTTTACACCGGCAATTCACAAGTTTCCCAGGAACTATCCGACGAGCTTGTTCAGCACATTATCCAAATCTCGCAAAAGAACTCCCCGGACTATCTCAATAAATAAGCACTGCCTTGCCCGGCGGTGTCTCATCAAAGAGCAGTTAACTATTTAGTACGATTTAGCATGGAGTGTGGTAGTGGCTAATAAGAGTCCATCTTAGCCAATCATACTCTCTTAAAGACCTTCCATAAGATAAGTAGTGTCTTTTATTGAGTAAATACAGTTGAGTGAGTACAACGTCATATTAAGTTAGTATTAGTATTGGTGTTGGTATTGGTGTTAGTGTTAGTATTGGTATTAGTATTCGTACTACTACGTAGTGAGTGCTACGCAGTGAATGGCTTGTCCAATAATCAGGCTGATCGTGTGTGAAATAGATAGTGGTCTATGATAGCGCTACAAATGTTTAGATGTAGTATAGTATAGAAAGTGTAGATGTGCGGTAGAAGATTTCAAACCCCAGCAACTCCAGTACTAACTCAAACTAACCCAAACACAACCTCACTTAATCCAATCCAACACAATCTCACTTAATCCAACTCAACTCATAAACCGTCTGAAGATGACATAGTAGTAGTGAAGCAATAACATAAAACTATAATATATCGAACAGTCCTGTGTAATGGTGTAGTGTTTTTGTCTATCTTTGTCCTTTAAGAGCTTAACTAAGCCAGAAGAAGTACAATTTAGTACTGGCGGCTGAGTCAATAGAACTTATTTGAAAGTTAAATAATCAGAATCAACTTTGGCCTATACTCTGAGATCACTAAACTTGAGTTATAACTAAGAAGTTGGCTTTAAGAATATTTCAAGATGGCGCAAGTGTTTATAATTAAAAAGACTAGAGGCAATATAGATATGACATTACGGTCCAATTGTAGCTGCATTGGCATTAAAAAATCTTATCTATGCCCAACTCATGGTTTGTCTTTAAGTGAATGTAACCGACAGAAAGGCTGCATGTCTGTCTTTAAACAAGATAATGGGCATTGGCTGGTAGGTTTATGTGTGCTGTTAGTGTTATTAAGCCGAGTTGGCGGTTTTAATGGCCTGGACCGGCTCAATATTGACATTGAAGTGTATGAGAATGATAATGATAATGAAGATCCTAATGATTGGGCTAGTGATGATTCTGGTGGGGGACAAAACATATTTGATATCTCTAATAATCAAGACACGGAAGTACTCCGGGCAACTCCATTAGATTCTAGTGATATGCTTAAGATCCTGGAAGATATTGGCTTTTTCTTTCGGGGTGAGAGACCAAATCTGGTGGTCGCTCTGGCCGGCTTTGGCCCATCAAATGCATCTAGTTCATTCACAGATAACCATATTTTGTCTGTGGTTGAATATAACGGCCCTGGAGTCTCTTTTAGCCTACCCAGGTATTCTTCGGAACAAGATGCTCAGATAGCTTTGGAGAAATTAAGAACAATTGCTTTTATTACGGCCGTTCAGGCAGATTCGGTCTGTGTTTCTGACAGAAACGCTAATCCAAGCTGCTATCAGGTGAATACACAAATTCTTACCCGAGTTGTTAATATGATCGATTGCCAGGAGCTCACAATTAATCTTACTAACAGTTGGCAAGACCAGCCAGATAAACAGCGCGCTGATTTTCTTATCTGTAGGAACGAAGCTGAGGAGACTATTGCCCATGCTATTTTTCAGCTACCGTGCCAACTCCAATTCTCAACAACAATGAAATGCAGTCTTAGTGTTTTTGCTTCATCGGATATTCACTTGTTACGGTCAGTTTTAGTTGTTGTTTTAACGGATTTTGAGTTTCAAAATACCTCTGGTCTTAATCAGTTAATATTCACCGAGGGATACACTATTGCCTTTACTCTTGGACCGGGCGAAGTGGACATTGATTTTGGATTCCTCCAAGTGGTTTCGGCCACTTGCAATAAGATCATAATCATTGCCACGGAACAAACAGAACTTTCACTAACCGGCCTTGAGAATGCTACGACAAAACACCCAGACATAACTCTGGAGGCCCACTGGACCCATATTCAGTACTTAGGAATACACAACAAATCTAACATTCAAGTTGATACTATTTTAAATCTTAATCTTGAGTTATGGGACTATTATAATATTCTTAATGTTCCTAAAGATCAAACTATCCCTCCTCATCGTGTTTATGCCAATAAGGCTACTGTTACAATAAGCTGTGAACTGCCATGCAATCTTCGGTCTTACTACCAAAAACTCTACACCACCTACTGGGCCAGTAATGGAGTTATGATAGATGATTTCCAGATTTCCTTTAAAGAAACACGCAATGACGTACAGAAAACCCTATTCAATCTTTATCAATTTAGTGGCACTCAAATTCAGCCTCAGAATACTGAAGGCAAAGAAGTTATCTGCTGTGGGGAATCACTTAGTGATCCCAATTGGACAATTCACGAGTCTATTAAGATCCAGCTTGATCGTGTCATTCCTATACTTTACCCCAATGATTGTCATCCTTCCGATTACATCCCTGTCTTTTGCCAGAATATCCACTATACAACCATTGAGATCACCGGAAGTAGCACTCCATGCTACCAGCAGGTCCCAGCCTGTATTAAGCTTCTAGATCTATTCCGAGGCATTAATGCACAAGAGCTTAAAATCAAACAGGTCTGCTTTGGCCTGCCCCACCTAGATTTCTACTTGTCTAATACCGACCGAGCAACATTTCCGATCCAATTAAACTCGGCCAACGCTGTCAAGTTCAAAACTTTAATCTTAGACCATGTTGACAATCAGATCATCTACTGGATGTTAAGCAATTATGTCTTTGTCAATCCGGTCGAAGTACACATTCTGAACCAGCAATTCAACAACCTTGCTATTGTTAAGATTCTTTCTCTGCCCACCACCAGGCAGATTGCAACTCTAGCAATCAATGACTTTCTTAAGCTAGATGAAGTCAGCTACTACCCCGACACCAGTCCATTCCGATCCAATGGCTTCTCACTAAGCCGATACGTAGAAGATGAACTTAAAGCACGAAAAACACTCGAACATCTTGGCCTGCACAAACTGCTTATACAATTAGGATGGAGGGATTATAGCAGGCATAGCGACGTTTTACTTATGTTATTGCGTTATGGCATTCAATTACAAGCCATACCATTTGCAACGTACACCATGCACACCGCCATCCACCCAGTCCAACCCAATATACCGGCCAAGAAAGAATTCATGCTCTATAACATTCCTTTGGAGTCCTTAAAAGACGACTGCGTCCACCCAATACTAACCCAACCTCCCCTCCAGCCCGATTCAAACCAAGAGGCTTCAATTCAAAAACAATCCGTTGACAAGCTACTCCTACGCTTTCAAGACAACTCTTCCCTCACCGAACCGGACTTAGCAATTATTCTCCAATGGATATCTTCTCGATTCAAGGACTTAATCACGTTACAACTAATCAATATCCGAGTGGCCGCAAGCGTGCGCATAGTATTAGAATCACGTAATTTTTGGGTCACTAGCCAACCTATGCTTACTTCAATCCAAATAGATAGTTTTTGTTCTGGTAAACCCAATATCAAAATCCCAATCCAACCTTATTCTCGTGGTTTATTAGCCAACAATCCCAATACTCTCCCTAAATTCACAGCCGTTTCACTCGCTTTGGCCGCCCGATTTTTAGCCCAACCCGACCAAACTACTAACCCAAGACTAACCACAAGCACTACCCCCAACCCCCCAATCCAAAAGATCATAAATCATATCAAAAACAGCACCCCTCATATTAAGTGTCCAGAATGCCATCGAGTCCTTTGCGTACTAGATGAAAGAGAAGCAGAGCAAGACTTAGTATCATCTACTCGTCCCAGCCCACAGTTCACAACGCTATGCTACCCCAAATCCGGCCCACCAATCTGCAATATCTGTGTAATTAGCCTCCTAGCATCCCACAAACCCCCAAATTCCACAAACTCACCCCAGCCCGGCCTAGACGATGATCCTATTTACCAGCTTATCGGCATTCCTCTAGATAATTTTGTCTTCATCAGTACCACATCACCACCAACCAATATTAACACCACTGCAACACCAACCCCTAACTTAGAACGACTCAGCCTCCTAGCCGATTCCTGTGACCAACACATCTATTTCTACCTTCCTTACCAAAACCCCTCCGATGCACTTATTAACCCCAATTACAACCCAACTCTAACCCATGTTCATATCATTTAAGACTGCCACGAATAAACCTCCCATTAAGTTAATATCGTATTGCGTTAGTATTGTGTTAGTATTATGTTGTATTGTGTTATGTACTAAAGATGATATCTGTGGAAGAACCAGCGACATCAGCTAACTCAACTTACTCAATATAAGATATCAACTTACGACATCAACTCAACTCAACTAAACCAACCCAATATCAAACCAACTCAATACTAAACCAACCCAATCCAATACTAAATCAATACTAAATCAAAATACTAAAACAAGATAAGATAAGATAAGATAACCCAATTTATTTAGATTTGTGCAAACTCCTTCAGTCTGAGGTTTTGACTCTTTGCTGACTCTCCTGCTACAGTAGTAACAGAATAAGCACCACCGGCGACAGTTACTTTGCATGCCTTGCACTTCCAGACACCCACAACCTCTCTCTTAACACCCCGCTTGCCACAGAACGTGCATATGTATTTGCTATGCTGAGTCTCTTCAACCTTCTTAATACGTTTACGAAGGGATACTCCGTATCTCGGTCCGTATTTACCTACTACACCTACTTTCTTAGTCTTTTGAGTCATTACTGGGGATACAAAATAAAAAAGTAAATAGACTAGTTCTAACGGTTAGATAAGCCGGATAAGTTTAGAGGGTAAAACATATATAATGGTCTGTGTAACAGAGTTAGGTAGATGTGTTGTTGGAAGGATCTGGGGTGATTTTGGGGGTGGGATAGATTGGGGCTTAGTTAGGGGGTACAAAACGGTGTTATAGAGGTAAGTATAAAGGTGGGGTGGGGAGAGGGGGTATGCAATTTAGGAAGACAATTTTGGTAGCATACAGTGTTGTTCAATCGGTTCGGGCTATGATATCTCCGCTATGTGGTGGGTCTGGAGGTAGTGGTTCAATGGGTGGTGGAAGTGCGACTTTATGTACGCCGTTGAATGATTTATTGGGATTGGGAGGATCGGGAATGCAGATGCCTTCGCCTCCACCAATGGAGTCTTCTTCTGGGCTGAGTTTCACCTGTCATATGAATGCTGGCTCGGGTCTGGGTGGTATGATGATGCCGAGTAATTCTAACCCTTGTGCTAGTATGCCTAGCATGCCCAGTATGCCCAGCATGCCTAGTATGCCTAGTATGCCATCATTTGGAGGAATGGAAGGTGGGATAGGCAACACATTCTTATGTAGTACGATTTCTCTGCAGGAGAAGACTCCCGTGGGAGGAAGTACTTGGTCAAATGACTGCTACACTAAACTATCGGGACTATTTTTGAACGGATTTGTGGGCAACCAGAAGGGCAATGAGATTTGCTGTCTCCCATCTGCAGGCATGTATGGGAACAAGATGCTGCGGTAAGAACCGAATAAATCTAATGGGTTATCTGTGTTTTGTATTTAGTTAAGTTGAGTTAAGTTGAGTTAGTATTGAGTTGAGTTGGTATTGGGTGAGGTTGGGTTTTGTTGTGCGGGGTTGGTAGTTAGTGGAGTTATTGTTGGATTGGCTTTGGATGTGTGTTGGCGTGTGTTGCGGTGAAGCTCCGTTTTGAATTGTAGTAGAAGTAATGACAGTGGCAGTGGCAGTAATAATAAAGGTAGAAGTAGAAGTAGGAGTAGAAAAATGGTTGCTGGTGTGGATTGGTGGTTGAGTTGAGATAACGGTGTGTGCTTTTGTGGATGATAGGTTGGTTGGGGTTGGTGTTTAGGCTTGAATTAGGCGGTCTTTTTGATGGACGAAGGTGGATAGACCAATTCCTTATCTAAAAAGGAAAACATGTTTTGATTAGCACAAAACAGTGTTATGCCTTATAAATATGCGGGGAGACAGTAGATGCTATGTCTTGGGCTAAGTTTTTGAAGCTTCTAGGGATCTATTCTTCGGCTTCTACGCAGAATTACTCGGAAGGGAACTACTTGACAAACTTGCACGAAAAGGACGTTTCGATATACAATACGTTGCAGCCGACATATAGGATGGCGTATGACCATAAGGTTGAAGGGATATACTTTCTTAATCTGGAGTCGATTAAGAAGAACCGAGACCATGTTCATACGGTGCTAGTTATGCACAAAACGTATATTACGGATGTATACAATCTGCTTATCAAACCAAAGAACGAGCGGGCAAGCATGTCCAACCACCGGCAAAAGATGATTTGTGTTAAAAAGAGCGACTACCATGTTGTTCCTTGCTCCGTGGACTCTAACGAGAGCACTTATATTAAGAAATGGCGAATTAAGCCGATGACTAACGGATATAAGATAAAGGATGCAGACCATGGCTGGTGCGTCGTGCGTGAGACGCATGAAGGGGTTCTGAAGCTTGAGTCCTGTAGTGACACTACTTTGGAACATCGGTACGATATGATCGAGGTCAAAGATGATCCATATAAGGGGATGTACCTGACTCCACGAGAAGAGATAGAATATAACCTGAGTGCGGTTGATCCTAGTGGCCAGCTGCCTAGCTGGATGACCAATGGCTTGTCCAACATGGACCATGGTGGCGGCCACCACCATAACAACGGCCATCATACCGGAAATAATGGCGGCGGCTGGGATGGATATGGCGCGGATCCAAATGGTCAGTATCCTAACTCCGGCTGGGGCGGTGGAATGCATAACGGTATGGGCGGCAATGTAAATATGTGTATTAGTCGATGTATGGGTGGTGGTGGCGGAGGATTCGGAAATGGTGGTGGCGGTGGAGGATTTGGAAACGGAGGCGGTGGCTTTGGAAATGGTGGTGGAGGATTTGGAAATGGAGGAGGCGGGTTTGGAAACGGAGGAGGCGGGTTTGGAAATGGAGGAGGCGGGTTTGGAAACGGAGGAGGAGGGTTTGGAAATGGCGGAATGGGTGGCATGGGAAACTCCAACAATGTAGATATGATGTGTATGCAGCGCTGCAAACAGAGTTCCTTAAATCCATACAATCCCAATGGTCTTGCCAATCCAAACAACCATCCCTACAACCCGAACGGTATGGGTGGTATGGGTGGCATGGGTGGCAATGGCATATATAACCCTAATGGAATGGCTGGTAATAATGGTGGGTATCCCTTTAATCCCAGCGGTATGCCAGGAAATAATCCTTACAACCCTAACGGCATGAATGCAAATACCTTGCCTAATACGAATCCTTACAATCCTTATTGTCCAACCGGCGTAGGTGGTGTCGGCAACGTCAATCCTTATGATCCCAATAACCCTTACCACCCACACAACCCACACAATCCACACAATCCACACAACCCCAATAACCCTAACAATCCTTACAATCCACACAACCCCAATAACCCATACAACCCTAACAATCCATATAACCCGTATAACCCCAACAATCCCAATACTAACCCTAACGACCCAAATAACCCTAACAATCCTTACAATCCGAATGGAACTGCCAACACTATAATTGATCTAAAAGACCTGAGTTCTAACATTACCAAGATAAAGGGAATGCTCGGCACCCTTAAGAGCTTCTGCAGCCACCACACAATTAGCAGTTTGTGTGGCGGACCGGGCAAATCTACTGCTCAGCTTTCCGTTAAACAAATGAAACGGCTGCTAGCAAAGCATTTACCCCTTTCTCGCATTGAGAAGATCCTTAAACAGTCTAGAGCCCCTCATCGCCGCCCTTCGCCCGTCTATTATGAAGCCGAGTATTATGATGTCCACTCTGGCCATCCGCCAGGCTACAACTCCCACCATGCATCGCATCCGCTAGTGAACAGAGAGGATCCATACCAAAGTACGCATCGGCTCCGCCATCCTCACGACCGGCACTCTTATAACAGACACACATATGACTCCCGCCCCTCTACCGACCACGCACATGGCAATCATCCTTACAACAGCCATTCATATGAAAATCACTCTTATAACGGCTATTCATCCGGCAACCACCCATATAACGGCCACTCTTATGGCAATGAAACCTACCACCCCCACTCTTCCCACCAACACACGTATCACCAACCAACACATTACAACTCGTTTTATTAGCTTCTAATTTTAGCTCTGTGATCTAACCATCACCGAAATTGGCTGGAGTATTGATATTGGCCATGTTCTTCCTCTGAGACATATCAATTCCAATACTAACCCAATAAATGTCTTATCTATGAAACACTGTTTAGAGCCTAGTATAACACACCAGAACCGCACCCCCTTCATGAAAACGCGTTGGGTTTTATGTGCGCTAGCCGTTGGCGTTCTAGGACTAGGGCAGGCAAAGGCATACCAAGACGATGCTAAGATTTTCGTGACTACGATCTCTCCGTACCATTCCAGCGACCCCAAAGTCTTCGTTTCTCCAAAGACCGGCAAGTTAGAGACTTCTACTAAGTTTCCCATTCAAATGCCCCAATCAAGCATTATTGATCTGGAAGAAATGGCTTTTGTGGTGACCATGCGCACTGCCAAGTCTTCTAACTCAGAGCAAGGCGATGAGCAGGTCTACATTCTTGAAAGCTATGGAGGCCAAACCCTATCCGCTGACATTAAGGCAAACAGAATCTTCATGGCCCCTAAGAAGAGCGGTGCCCCCCAAAGGTGGCATCTTACGTTTATCTCAAGTAAAAATGCGGTTCAGATGCGCCCTATTGCCCGCCACTCCCATCATATGTGTGCTTCTATGCTCAAACTAGCCTTGTCTAACAACGCACTCGGGCTTGCAGACCCTAGTGACACTAAACTTGTTCTTGAGCCCTGTAATGATGAAGACTCTCGCCAACTGTTTAGGTTTGTAGATATAACAAAACCTAAGACAGAGAATCCTCACGGCACAATTGGCGCTAACTCAGCTGGACCCAACGGCGCAGCCGGAGGCATTGGGACCTTGAAAGAGGTTATGAAGGTGGTGCTTGATATCCTACAGCATATTGATGAGGGCGTTTTGAACCTACAGGGATCCTCACGACCTTATCCTAATGCCGGCGGCCCGAATAATATTATAGGCGGTGGGGTTGGCATTCCAGGTGGTATAACTAGCGGTATGCCGGGAAGCTTCCCTGGTGGTATGCCTGGTAGTATGCCGGGCAGCTTCCCTGGTAGTATGCCTGGTGGTATAACGAGTAGTATGCCGGGAAGTTTCCCTGGTAGTATGCCAGGCGGCGGTGCTGGCCTATCGGGCAATGTTTCGAATGGCATGAATGGGGGCGGTGGCTGGTCTGGGGGAATGTCTGGTGGTATGCCCTGCGGCGGTTCATCGTGCGGAGTACCTCCTGTTGGCTCTGTTCCTGTTGGCTCTGCTCCTGGAGGCTTTGGAGGCCCTGGCTATTTGCCCGCCCCAAACTTTAGTTCATCTAGCATGTCTTCTTCTAACCCGGTTTTGCCATATAGCTATAGAGCAAGATCTAACAACAGACCACCTATGAGCTCCGGGCTGCCTTACTCTTCTCCAAGTTCCATGCCCTACACAAGCCCCATGCCGCCTAATGGCCCGCCGCCGTCTCAGTATGGCCCGGGGCCTATGCCACCTAACCCAAACAGCATGCCTCCTCAATTTGGCTCCAGTATGCCACCTAACCCAACAGGCATGCCGTCTCAGTACGGTCCAGGACCTATGCCGCCTAGCCCGAACAGCATGCCTCCTCAATTTGGTCCCAGCATGCCCCCAGGCGCGCCGCCAATGAACTATCCCAATGCACCTCCCGGCCCAAGCAGTATGCCGCCTCAGTTTAACTCAGGCCCATCACCCACCGCCAATGGGATGCCGATAGCTAACTACCCCAATACATCTTCAGGTCCGAGTAACATGCCCCCGCAATTCCATTCAGGCCCGCCGCCCAACTCCAGCGGGATGCCCCCAAGGACCTATTCTGGCACGTCCTTCCCGTCGCATCTTGTCTCACCCATAAGAACAATGGCGAGATCAACTTCCAAAGAGTAGATTAAATTAGTTATATTTTCATTAAGTGCTGTTAATACTGCCCAGTAAGAGATAACTGTGGCACGTAGGTGATCAACTCGGCCCAATAAACACATTGAATTTCTTAACTGGCTTCTTTTGAAGGTGAATGTTTCATCTTGTTTTTAAATCCGTTTCAATGTAATATCTGATATTTGGTGATGAGCAAGATTAACCAGCTGATGTCATACTTCTTCGCTATCAGCCCGATAACCAATATGCTGGATGTAAATATCTGGAACTTTTATCGCAATGACTGCTTTTTGACCTGGGACCAAGGAACCGGCATACTCCATACTGAGTACCACCCCCATATCGAGCCTCCCCCGCAATTTAAGCTGAAATATTCTGGGCATGAAGGAGATAGCCCGGTGAAAGCCCAGTCACATATTAGCATTTGGACGGACCCCGGGTATGCTATTGGGAAGTGCCGTTATACTGTCAAGCCCATTGTACCACGAGTCGAAAGAAGTTGTTCCTATCATTGGGTTTTTGTTCCTCGTGAGGATGGCGGTTTGTTTATCAAGCCAGTGGTCGACCAAACTATGTGTATGCATGTGAATGAAGGTCGAGTTGTTCTTGATACTTGCCGTGATGACCGCAAGGGAATGGCCTTTATGTACGGCACTCAGGAAATGCGGCACAAGCATATGCTGGCCCAGGAAACTCTTAGGCGGTTCCAGAGCGACCCAGAGAAATCCCACATTCTGAAGGAAATGATTCAATCCGGCGAGCATCTGTATAGTGGCAACCGCTGTCCTCAGGATCACTCTCTACCGGGTTTAGGGCCCCCTAGCCCTTTCGCGCCTCTAGAACCCACTCCCTATGCTGCATACGCTCCATATAACACACCCAGCCACTATCCTCCTGCTCCACCCCCCACGGCTCCTGCTCCAAAAGCCGAAAACGGCACGGCATATTCGACCGTTTCGACTACTACACAAACTAGCAGTATATTTAGTCGCTTGGGCTCGGCATTAAGTTCGGGGCTCCAAATGTCGAGCTCTCTGCTGTCAGGTGAAGAGCCTATGCTAAGCAACACCCTTCAGCGAATTGAATCGGTAATTAATCCAAAGGGCGTAACGACAGTTCATAAATGCACTAACTGTGTTCCAGAGGAAAGAGCTGCGCGTGCAGCACCTTTTGTTGTAGCCAATGCTCATGAAAGCGGCGGCTACGCGCCAGAATATCCTTCTTATGGTGGCTATGGCCAGCCGTACCCACAAGGCCCGAGCGGCGCTTATCCTTCCAACCCCTATTATGGCGGCTACGCGCCCCCGGGGCCTTCTCCTTACGGTCCGCCGCCCTCGTACCCTCCTCCGCCGCAATCATATTATCCTTCACATTCACATCCACATAAAGAAGGTTTAGTCTATCGAGCTGTTGATAAGATGATTGAAAGACCTGTCACTGCGGTGGCCAACACAGTAGCAGGAGCCGCCGATAAAGTCTCTCACGGCATTTCTAAAGGTCTAGGCAAGTTGTTTGGCCGTTAGTAACCCAGAATTTCTAATGTACAGCGCTTCACTAGATCTACTAGTCCTTATGGCCCTTTTCACCATATCACATCTATGTCCTTAGATTTCAATAAACCGAACTTTATCATCATATATCACTAACTACTATTTACATTTAATTAACTACTAACTCAATACAACCTAGCCCATCATATCCTATCTTTACCCTACCCAATACTAACCCAATACAATACCAATACAATCTAATAAGTTAGCATAAAACTAAAAAGCACACATACACTAACCCAATTTCAAAAAAGTAGAGGTTTTAGTCCTTTTATTCGTTTAAACCCAAATAGCTAATAACAAGTTAATATTAAGTTGGTACCAAACCAGACTATGCAGTTAGCCTGGGTCTGTGAGAGTAAGAGGGGGCGGGCGTAGGATCTGGAGTAGGATTTGGGGCAGGATTTGGTGCAGGGTCTTGACTGTTAGGTGTTTTAGGAGTGCAAGGACGGGTGCAGTATTTATCATTGAGGAAGATGTACTTTCCGTTAAGAATATCTGGATTATTTCGCGTACAAGGTGCACAGCCTTCAAAGTAGTGCGAGAAGATTCCACGAGCAATGTGGATTGGCTGAAAGACGTCACCATCAATGCGAAACATCTGTTTTATCACAATCGGGTCATCAGTCTCATTGAAGCACTTGGCTAGCACAAAGAGCTGTCTTCGGTCTGGCATGAGACAGCGGCCATTGTACATAATCTTAAAGTGATCTCGGAAGTTCTTGGACTGAACAACTTTGAAGACCTGTCCCTTGAGGTTGCGGGCCAGAGGCGATCTGAGCACATACTGTGTGTTGGCAAAAAGGGTAAGTGCTTGTTGCGGGCTGCTGTTTCTTCTCAGAGGAAAATTGTCGCTGTCAGTGTCTATTCGGATAGAGTATGAATCACCATCACCATCCACATTGTCCTGGCGATCATCTTCAACTGGATAAAGGTGTACGCGAACACGCACATCCTTGCCTCGGCCAATAATCACGGAATGATCAGTATAGAGCGGCGAAGAAGTGTAGGGCACAGAAAGATATCCATGAGAGCCTGCGTTGTACAGATACCCACGCAGAGGCATGTTGATTTTTGGGGTACCAAAGACCACTCCAACTCCAGTGGCCAGTATACCTAGTAGCCAGCATTTCTTTGCGATCATCAAACTTAGATAGGCAACCCAAATATCAAAATTTAACAACTATCAGAAACAGTGTTTCAAACACATTCAACAGCGGCTTGTTATCTAGAGACAACAAGGTAGAGACAACAAAGAACAATATCACATCCACATAATTTAGTACTTAGTACCAACTTCGTATTCAATATCAACTTCGTACACAATACCAACATAACATAACACAACATAACATAACGCACGCCAACCCAATTTATTAATGCCAGGCTAGCATAACGCCGCCGCAACCTAATAGCGGTACCGGTCTAGGTATCCTTTTGGAATCCACCGGAACCAACAAGCCAATTGGTCTTCGTCGCAGGCCTCCCCATCAAGCAACTCAACGTCCTGGTTCCTTTTTGAAGCCACCACATACTTGCCATCAAGAAGAGACTGGATCGTGAAAGTGTATCCCCACCGGCTGGCTTCTTTGACCTGTCTTATCCGGAACAGCTTGGTGCTAAATGACTCTGGATATTTAGATAGTTCAAGGTTTCCTTGGAGATTAGATATGCCCGGAACTGTTTCCAAAAGATGGTTGTCATGGTAAGGAAACGACCGCTGCTCAATATTTTTGATTTCGGCAGATATATCTCGAGAATTAACCAGAAAAACAAAAGGGCGCATTTGGTGGCTGCCCATGCGGAATAGGGCAAACAACAGCTTTTTATACCCCCGCCCAAAGCCTAAGCGTTCGGTGCGGAACGACATGTGCGACTGCGACTGCACGCCCAATAACTTATGGTGCTTGACGCTATAGAGATAGCCAACATTCTTATTGCCCAACAGCAGCCGACTATAATCATAAATGGCACCATCAGCCGGTCCAAGTTTGGGCGAGCGGTCTAAAAGAGTCTGGTAGAACCCACTTCCAGCCCCATCAAGGAATCCCGACTGCCCCCAGCTATAGCTATATCCATTGCCAGCAGCCAAGCTAGTTCTAAACAGCCCGGCCAGTCCAACACTAACTAACCCAATACCAATATGTATACGCATCCAGGACACCATGTTTCCATCTATATACCCCAGATGTAACTTCGCTTCACGCCCCATTCTATCGGCAAGCCGAATCACTCGGTCTATAACTCCGACACACCATCACACACATTCTACTTCAATACTTGCCCAAGACCAACACTCTAGACCGATAAACAGTCCCAGAGATGATACAATGGCTCATCTTCAATCTACTTATACCATCCCAACGGCCCAAGTATGCTTGCTAAGTTTCCGCTTTATTTAATCGCAACGGCTCTAGGTTTTGAAGTCATTCAGGCCCGAATCATGGACTATCGCGCCGAAGGCAGCCTTTACCGCGAAATAGCTGACCCTGCTCGAGCACGATACTACAGCAAGCCGCCTGGCTACTATCAAGGCAGCACTCTGGGCCGTACGTCTTCCAATGTACTTAAGAAGCGAGCGGGCCCGTTGGAGAGCTATCTGCCGGCCTCGCACTACTATCCGCCCGCACTAGGATACGTAGTGCATTCCGAGACTTCACGGCTACTAACCCCACGCACTAAGAACTTCATGTACAATAACATAAACATCGTCTACTTGTACAACCGTGGTCTTAGTCGCTTCATTGGCTACAACCACGAGAACAACATAAACTACAAAGCCGTGGATGTTGATGGAGGCTACGCCAAATTTACCTTGGTGATAGTTCCCGGCGACGAGGGATCAGCAGTTGAGCGACTTCTTGAAATCCCAGATGGCGACTATAAGGCCTCTCTAGCTACTAAGAAACTCTCTGTGCGCGAAGGGATGATGAAGTGGTACGCGGAGGAAGGTCTCAAAAAAGGGTCCAGCATTATTCGTCGCGCAGACGGCGGCACAAACAGTGAGTTGATCATTACCCCTACGTACTACCAAAGAGATCATGCCTTCAAAATCATGTTCGGCCGATATTGTGCTACTGCCAAATATGACACAGGCGACATTACCCTGGAAGAGTGCGTGGACGACAACGACGGCCACCCAACCATTGAGAACGATCTTCAGCTGTTCACCTGGTGCAGCGTCAAGTCCCCTCGAGAGTGCATCAAGAACTCGTGGGGCGAGCCCAAACAACTGAGCCACATGGAATATGTTGCTCGACGCTAACAGACACTAAATAACAGACAATTAAATAATAGATAGTGAGGTATTATATGTGATAGACCGCCAAATTTCAGCCCAATGAAATCTAAACCAATATGGACGCAAACCCAAGATGACGCACAAGAGAGGGTAAAAATAAAGCAGACATCATCAAGATGATCCCAATACACACTAGTTGCTAACTGTCGTCACAAGCAACTGGTTTGAATAGACGACTTGTTTAACGCACATGGCTCTTGTTATTTTGCTTACTTATACATGTTACTCTTCTGATAAGTCAGAAGTCGATACTTTACCGTCTAATAAGTAGACGTCAGGTAGTGTGCACCCTAACTCTTCATCTGATAGTTGCCCGGCAACCCACTACTAACCCAATTATTCATGTCGGATCTCGCACAATATCTTTTGCCAGCACTAAGCCAATACTAAGCCACATAGCCATTACACTACAACATGTTTATTGAATAGTAACTCAGTACATCGTAATACAACTTAACTTAACTTAACTCATCATAACTCAAACTCAACCCACCACAACCTAAACTCAATAAGATATTAAACTATAAAGTCATTTTCGGATGACTATGGGACTACTTGACGCCAATCGCAAGTGCTGCAGCAGTACTGCAGTTTAGTTAGG